CGGAGTCGGGACCCAGATGCCAGAGCCCCAGGGCGGGACTTGTAGGGCAGGGAGCCCAGCCTCCTATTCAGCAAGGAAGAGGCTGCTATCCCCTGACGTGGGCGTGGAAGGGGCGTGGAGCCTGCTAAATGTGGATGGGGTGTCTGCACGGGGGGTGACAAGGGGACTCGCGCTCAGAAGACCCCATGTGTCAGACCAAAGAGTTCTGAATGGATGTCTGGGTGGGCACAGGCCCGAGGGCCCTTGTGTATCCTGGGATACTTGTGTGACACTTGGCTCCTTTGTCTTCATCTCAACCTGGGCTACTCCCGCAGATTTTTTTTTTTTTGAGACGGAGTCTTACTCTGTCACCCCAGCTGGAGTACAACGGCAGGATCTTGGCTCACTGCAACCTCTGCTCCCAGGGTGCAAGCAATACTCCTGCCTCAGCCTCCCAAGTAGCTGGGATTACAGGGATCCGTCACCATGCCCAGCTAATTTTCATATTTTTAGTAGAGATGGGGTTTTACCATGTTGACTAGGCTGGTCTTGAACTCCTGACCTCAGGTCATCAGCCCGGTCTCCCAAAGTGCTGGGATTACAGGCATGAGCCACCACACCAGGCCTTATCCAGCAGAATTTTTAAAACTGGGCTGATTTTACACAGCAGAAAACAAGAGGTCCTGACCAGGATGCGGCCACAGGACTCCAGATCAGTTTCACCGACCCGGCGCACCCTGGCCACACTGGGCCTGCCCCGACCTTTGCTCTGTGAAAACTCATCTGTGGGCCAGGCCCTGACCCTGGCCCCTGGGCCTCTCTGTGGGGCCTCCCCAGACAGGTCAGCTCCCCGCAGCCCTCAGCCCCAGGCCACCCCACCTGCAAACCCACACCCACCTCACTCCTCCTTACCGGTATAACTGGAAGTCCTGCTCTGAGAAGATGTTCTGTATTTTATCCCCAAAATATCTGTGGGAAAAAAAAAAAAAGGAGAATTCACAACATACTTCATTAATCTGTTGTTCATCTCCTTTCCATTCAGTCATTCCTTAACCTAACCTGCAAGTCCCTGAAAATCAACTGGTCCTCACGACTCCATTTCTACAATGGTAACCACTATAAAGAAGGAGCCGGGCCGGGTGCAGTGGCTCATGCCTGGGTGACAGAGCGATATGCCATCTCAGAAAATAATAGTAATAACAAAGAAGGAGCTGACCGGGGGCAGGACCTGGGCTAACGTGTGAGGCAGGGAGGGTCTCCTTGCTCCCCTGCCCCTCAGATTCTTGGCGGCTGCTCCTGGGAGCCTTCCACCTCTGCTGCCTCCTGCACCCACCCCTTCTGTCCCTGGGCCCACAAAAAACGCCAGATTCCCCTAAAGTTTCATGACAAGCCTCCGGCCCACAGGCTGCAGAGAGCCCACACCTCCCAGCTCCTGCGTCCCCACCAGCATCACAGCCACTGAGGCCCTGAGGCTGCCCCCAGACAGACCCTCCCTCGCGTGTCCACATGTCCGTGGTAGGAGACACAGAGCCGCTCACTCAGCCTTCAGAGCCAGCACTGAGGTCACACTGCAGCACTCACCTGTACAGATTCACAAAGTGCTTCCCGACAGACAGAGCCCCGGAGTGCAAGTCCAGAATGGACGCCTGGAGAAGACGTTGTGGAGTAAAGTGTGTGGCCACAGCAACGGCCGTGGCTGTGTTAAAAGTCACTGATGGTAAATGTGAGTTACCAAGGTCTGTCCTGCACACACTCCAGGATTTAATTTCATTTTTTTGTAAAAAGGATCTTACTTTGTCGCCCATGCTAGAGTGCAGTGGCACGATCTCAGCTCACTGCAGCCTCCCCATTCCACGCTCCAGGCCAAGCAATCCTCCCAGCTCAGCCTCCCAAGTAACGGGAACTGAAGGCGCTCGCCACCACACTTGGCTAATTTTTCTATTTTTCGTAGAGATGGGATCTCACTATATTACCCAGGCTGCTCTCAAACTCCTGGGCTCAAGTGATCCTCCCACCTCGGCCTCCCAAAGTACTGGGATTACAGCCGTGAGCCACTACGCCCAGCCTCAACCCAGGACTTCCTTAAAATCCTCCCAGACCAGCCAGGTGAGGTGGCTCACGCCTGTAATCCCAGTACTTTGGGAGGCTGAGACGGGTGGATTGCTTGAGGCCAGACGTTCAAAACCAGCCTGGTCAACACGGTGAAACCGTTTCTACTAAAAATACAAAATTAGCAAGGCATGGTGGTGGGCGCCTGAATCTCAGCTACTTGGGAGGCCGAGGCAGGAGAATCTCTTGAACTTGGGAGGCAGAGGTTGTAGTGAGCTGAGATCACACCACTGCATTCCAGCCTGGGCCACAGAGCGAGACTCCATCTCAAAAAAAAAAAAAAAGAAAGAAAGAAAAAGAAAAAAGAAACACTTTGAAATTCTCGAAGAGTCTATAAATTAATCTTCCTGGAAGTTTCAAATATGCAGAATGACTTGGGTCTACGCAATGCTTATAACTCAAAACGATCACCAAATACACAGAGAGAAACAGATCTGCAGACAATTCCACACACCAAGGAAGAAATAACCCTGAGAAAACCGCATGGGAATTCGTGCTAACATCAGCCGTGCCGGGGACTGACTCCCAGCGGCCGCCCATCAGGGCAGCGAGGCCACAGCGGGCGCTGGCTCCGTGTTCCCTGCGGCTGCAGTAACACAAACTGGGGCTTTAAAACAAGTTCAAAAAAGAAAAAAAAAAAACACAATAAAACACAAGTTAATCCTCTCACAGCTCTGGAGGGCAGAGGTCTAAAAGCGAGCTGTGGGCGGAGCCCTGCTCCCTCCCAGAGCTCCAGGGGAGGTCCTGCCCCCCACTTCCCGTGGCCGCGCGCTCCCTCTCCGCCTCTGTCTTCAGGGGACCTTTTCCTCCTCCCTCTCAAATCTCCCCCCGCTTCTGTCTACTACGGGCACTTGCCATCGGATTTAGGACCCACCCTAAATCCAGGGTGATCTCATCTTGAGAGCCTTAAGTTAATTACATCCACAAAGGTCCCTTCTCCAAATCAGATCATGTCCATGGGCTCCACGTGGACACATTCTGCAAGGCCACCAGCCGCCCTCCTGCAGCACCACAGGGGACGGCTGCCCCGGCAGGCGTCCATGGAGGCATGAGATGCGTCACAGCGTCTCTGTCCCATGGAGGCTCTGCTGTTTCCCGGCAGCTCCGTGGGCTCTCCCGTGTCCAGGGCACACAGCCGTCTCCTCACCGGGCTCCCACCCCTCTCCCTTGCCGGCTCCCTGCTTCCGACCCCCTCCATCCCCCGCATGTGACCTGGAGCCAGGCAGGCTACGATATGCCGTGAAGAGACAGCCACGCACATCTAAGGACATGCTCTTCCCAACGAGGGGCTGCCGCGTGGGCTTCAGTCAGGCATAGCTGCTGCAGTGGCTGCTGAGAAACACCACGGCCGGCCCCACCTACACTTGGGGGCACCAGGGGACCCTGCATGTCTGTGCCCTGTCCCTCCGAGTGAGAGCAAAGTCAAAGTGTAAAAACAAGGGGCAGGAACTACATTCAACTCACGCCTCCGTCAGAGCCTCCCAGAGAGAGCCCCTTCTCAGCTATGCTGTGGGGAGAAAATAATTCAGAATTTAGTTACTAGAATTGTCTATAATGTATCATCTAGGCAAAACATCAATCAGCACAGTTAATGCAATGTTAGTGGGTCCTGCTTGTTTAATGTTTAGGATGTAAACAAACGTTTAGACCAAAGGACTCAACTTTCAAAGCTCAGTGCCTAAGCGACACCACCATCATCTCTTGTCAACACCTGACTCAGCTTAGAAACGGCTGGTCTTCAGCACTTCGGGAGGCCGAGGTGGTGGCTCACCTGAGGTCAGCAGTTTGAGACCAGCCTGGCCAACATGGTGAAACCCCGTCTCTACTAAAAATACAACAATTAGCTGGCGTCGTGGTGGCACGTGCCTGTCATCCCAGCCACCCGGGAGGCTGAGGCAGGAGAATCGCTTGAACCCAGGGCGGAGGTTGCAGTGAGCCGAGATCGCACCACTGCACTCCAGCCTGAGTGACAGAGCAAGAGTCCATCTCGAAAAATAACAACAATAAAAATGACTTAATCTCTCATCTTCAGCATCGAGAGCAACCTGGACCAAGCTCAGGAGCCTGGAGAGCATCTGGAGGAGGACTTGCTGCTCCCCGTCTCTCCTGGGACCTCAGGCAGGTGGAGGCAGCTTTGAGATTCACCAGCTCAGGAGATCGAGGCCCTGCCCGTGGTGAGAAAGATACCCACGCACCGGCCGCGCTGGACCTGAGAGGGCCACTCCGAGCTGCCACTGGTGCTGGGAGCCGCCCACGGACACCGAGCAGGGACGTGCCATTGCCTTAGTGAGACAGCAGTGACCCCATGTGGCGCCGGGCGGCGTCCTCAGGGGCAGGTGCCCTGGGAGGAATCTCGGGGTGGGGCCGTGGCCCATGGCTGCACACCATCTCAAAGAGCGGTTGGAAAACCGAAACGTCCTTTTAAGATCTCAATGAGAAAAGTCCGGCACCAGTGGCCTCTGAGTGGCGTCCTGTGCTGCCACACGCCTCGGCCAGGTGGGCTGAAGGGCTGCCCCGAGGCAGTCTCAGGGAAGACGCTCCGGAGGCTTCAGGTGAGCACGGGGCACCCCAGAGGTGGTGCAACCCCTGCAGAGGAGCCCGGGGCTCCGGGCACTCCCTCAGCTACGGCTCCACGGAGGGCCACGGCCTCCTCTCCTGAAATCGGAAAACCTGAGCTTGGCCCTTGAAAGCACATAAGGAAATTCTTATGAAATTACAATCACATCTTTAAAACCCCTTTATTACTAATGATGCTCCGCCCCACCCCAGCCCCGCTGTGCGACCCTGCATGTTTGTTTAAATCCCATCGTGCTCAGGGACGGGCGGTTACCTGCGAATCCGCTCCGCCTCCTCCCTGGTGATGACGGCATCGGTGACGCCTCTGCCGCACTTCCTGGGGGTGCAGCCTGGGAGGGGACAGCCCGGGTGAGAGGCGGTTTCCAAGGCCACTGGCACACACCCTTCCAGGGGATGGGGCCAGAGCCGGCTGATCCGCCTGGTCAGATGTGAATTTCAGACACGCAACCACAGCTCTCCAGCGTCCGTGGCTTTGTGCAGCGCGTCTGGAGTCCACGTCTCACTGGGCGTCCTTGGCTTCCAGTGGCTACAACTGGAGATTTAATCCAGAAGCATCTGTTGCTGCCCCAAACCCGGGGAAAGCCACAGAAGCTCCAGACACAGCCTCAATGGCATTCCTGAACCATCGCTGACTGCAGGTCCAGACACCACAGGCACCGTCAGAAAACTCTCCTGAGGCCACCAGAGTGAAGCTTGTGGGTCTAGTCCCAGGCCTTCCCCAGGGCACAGCAGACTGCTCCCCACATCCCTGTCTCTCCCCATACCTCGGTGACCTGCAGAGGCTGAGGGAAGAGGAAGAAGCAGCTCAGATGGGGGTCAGGGCTGTCAGGGCAGGGTGGTCAGGGCAGGGGCAGGGTGGTCAGGGCAGGGGCAGGATGGTCAGGGCACGGACAGGGTGGTCAAAGCAGGGACAGGATGGTCAGGAAAGGGTCAGGGTCATGGGGGCAGGGGCAGGGTGTTCAGGACAGGGGCAGGGCGGTCGAGGCACAGATGTGCAGGGTACAGTAGAGCGTCAGAGAGGGGACCAGCGACCCACCTGGTGGTGGTCTGGTACCAAATGCAGCTGGCTTTGTGTGCTGGGCAGGCTGCAGGCCAGGCCTGAGCAGTGAGATGGCAGCCCACGAGCACCAGGACACAGGCCAACCGCCACTCTGCAATTTGCTTTTCTTCCCTGTCCCTGCGTCCTGCCTGGAAAGCCAGTCATGAGCCTGGACGTAGAGCCTGGCTCCTGGGACACGGGAGTAAAAGCCTCGCACCCAGCGCTGAGCGCTAGCACCGGGGCTCGGACCCGAGGACCACAAGGTGCTGCGGTGACCTTGGCTCTTTTCTCTGGGTCTTGTCCCAGGAGATAAACAAAGCTCCACTTGGCTGAATATCAGGGAAGGGGAACTGTAGTTACACATGGCTAAATGATCTGATGGACATAGGTGTTTTATTTGAAAAACAAAAGTCAGTGAGACAGCAGTAATCCCACGTGGAGCTGGTTTATTTTTTAAAAAAACCACCACCATTTTTATAAGGTTTACCCCACCAAACATGAGGACACAGGAAAGCAGAAAGCAAAAGGCAAACACCACGGGAGCCACACGGGCCTGTGCTGCGGCCTCCGGACCAGCAACGAGAATCGCTGGAGGGAAAAGAGAGTCACCCGTGGCACAGGAGCAGCTTGGCAGGAAGAGGAAGGGGCGGCAGGTAGCAGACACCACCACCCCATGGCACACCGGGGCCAAAACAGAGACGCTGCCGGGTCTGCACCCCACGGAGAGCCTGACGCCTCTTTCCATAACGGGTGGGTGAAGGAGACAGGAAGTGGCGACCGGAATTTGTGCACACGGGCGTGGGTCGGGAGAAACACCCCCACGCTTCGTCTGCTGCCAGGACACGTGTGCTTCCCAGACACGCTCGGAGCACGAGCAGAAGCAGGCCACACGTCAGCCCGTGAAGAAAGTCGGGACCGACTGCAGAGAGTCTGCGTCACACAGGCTGTGTTACCCAACTGCATTCAAGTAGGTTAGAAGTCGGTGTTTAAAAAAAGACCAAAAATCCCATGCATTTTTAAATTTTAAAAATTTCCAAGTAACTGCTGAGTTGAAAAACAATAGTAATAGAAATTAGAGGCCAGGCACAGTGGCTCATGCCTGGAATTCCTGCACTTTGGAGGCCGAGGCAGGCAGGCTGCTTGAGCCCAAGAGGAGTTCAAGACCAGCCTGGGCAACATGGGCAAAACCCCGTCTCTACAGAAAATACAAAAACCAGCTGGTGTGTGTGGCACACGCCTGTAGTCCCAGCGACTCGAGGGGCTGAGGTGCGGGTATTGCTTTAGCCCAGGAGGTTAGGGCTCTAGTGAGCCATGTTTGCACCCCTGCACTCCAGCCTGGGTGACAGAGCAAGACCCTGTCTTAAAAACAAACAAACAAAAAAAGAAATTAGGGAGTACTTATAAAATGACAATGAAAACACCATAAATCAAGACATTGGGGATTTGAGACTTCCAGCTAAGGTCAAGGCTGAGTAGCAGGAACCGGATTTAGCCTCCTGCTTGAAACAACTAAGAACTGGACAAAATATACAGAATCATGGTCCTAAAACAGTCTCAGCCTCGAGGACAGAGACCCCAAGAACGAGAAGCGAGTGAGTATAATTCACAGGATCCTGGGCTGACCTGGTACCAGAAGCGGAAGCCACAGCAGTGATGGTGAGAGCTGTGATGGCCCCAGGGCCCCCCACCCCTCAATCCGCAGCAGAACACTGAGCCTCAGAACATGCAGAGCATGCGTGTGACGAGACCAGGGTTTGAGTAAAGAACCATAACGAGGATCAGGCCAGGCGTGGTGGCTCACCTGTCATCCCAGCACTTTGGGAGGCCGAGGTGGGTGGATCACCTGAGGCCTGGAGTTCATGACCAACCTGGCAACATGGTGAAACCCTGTCTCTACCAAATATACAAAAATTAACTGCACGTAGTGGCAGGTGCCTGTAGTCCCAACTACTCAGGAGGCTGAGGCAGGAGAATCGCTTGAACCCAGGAGGTGGAGGCTGCAGTGAGCCAAGATCGCACCACTGCCCTTCAGCCTGGGCGACAGAGTGAGTGACCCTCTGTCCCTCCCTCCCAGAAAATACATTAAACCATTTGCTTTATTGTAAAATACATGCAACACAGAATTTACCATTTTAGCCAAGATGTTTTGTTTTGTTTTGTTTTGTTTTGTTTTTGAGACAGAGTCTCACTTTGTCGCCAGGCTGGAGTACAGTGGCATGATCTGGGCTCACTGCAACCTCCAACTCCCTGGTTCAAGCGATTCTCCCGCCTCACCCTCCCAAGTCGCTGGGACTACAGGCATGTCCCACCACACCCAGGCAATCTTTTTATTTTTAGGAGAGATAGGGTTTCACCATGTTGCCCAGATGGTCTCGGTCTCCTGACCTGATCCGCCCGCCTTGGCCTCCCAAAGTGCTGGGATTACAGGTGTGAGCCACCGCACCTGGCCAAAAGAGTTCTTTTAAAAGTGCAAGGTTTGGTGGCATCAGCCGCAATCACACTGTGCAGCCATCACTAGCACCACCTCCAGAGCTTTTCCACCTCCCCCAGGGGAAATCCCAAACCCATTAAACATGGACTTCCCATCACCCCTCCCTCATCCCAACTTTTTTCTTTTTGGGGGCAGGACAGGATCGCGCTGTGTCCCAGGCTGGAATGCAGTGGTGCACTTAGGTTCACTGCAGCCCCAACCTCCCGACCTCCCAGGCCCAAGTGATTCTCCCACCTCAGCCTCCTGAGCTGGGCCTACAGGCATGCACCACCACACCTGGTTCATTTTTTATTTTTGTAGAGATGGAGTCTCACTATGTTTTCCAGTCTGGTCTTGAACTCCTGGACTCAAGCCATACCCTGCCTGGGCCTCCCACCGTGCTGGAATTGAGGGTGAGCCACTGCTGGCCATTCCAAGTTTTTTTTTGTTTGTTTGTTTGTTTTTGTTTTTGTTTTTGTTTTTTTGAGACAAGAGTCTTGCTTTGTCACCAAGCACCAGGCTGGAGTGCAGTGACGCGATCTCAGCTCACTGCAACCTCCGCCTCCCAGGCTGAAGCAATTCTTCTGCCTCAGCCTCCCAAGTAGCTGAGATTACAGGCGTGCCACCACGCCCGGCTAATTTTTATATTTTAGTAGAGACGAGGTTTCACCATGTTGGCCAGGATGGTCTCGATCCCTTGACCTCGTGATCGGCCTCCCAGAGTGCTGGGATGACAGGTGTGAGCCACCGAGCCTGGCCCCCAACTGTTTTTAATGTCGATAAAGTGTTAATGGTGGCAAGAAAAATTTCTCCTGGGTGCTGACATTCAAAAACTCGTTTTGGAAAGCTGGGATGTCGGAGAGGGGACTTCTGCGGGGTAGCGGGGAACCCCGCACCCCAGGAGCGCGTTCCCGTTCCCGCCCCTGTGCGCGCCTCCCGCGGCTGGGACCGCGTTCTCGGGCGGCACACCGGCGCCCCCTGCTGGGAGAACTCGGCAGTCCTTTCTGGGTTCAAGTTCTCAGCATTGAACTGAATTTTTAGGAAACCTGAATTCTGTCTCAAAAACCCAGCCGCGCGTGCTGAATTTTTACAACTAAGAATACATCCAGGTGACATGGAATGTTCGGGAAAACCGAGCAGCCACCGGAGGCCTGCAGGCGGCGGGGTCTGGCCGGGCCGCCCCGCGCGGGGCCGTGCGCTCTCCAGGGTGCTGATCCGGCCGCAGCCCCTGGCTCCCCTGGAACCGGCGCCATCCGCCTCTCGGGCCCAGGCAGAACGGGAGTCGGGGGAGGGAGCTGAGGCCCAGGAGGGCGGAAAGGCGGCTGGCCGTTCCCTGTTACATTTTCCCCAACATTCACCGACTCGACCACATTCTCCAGTCAAAAAACCCTTCTGATTTTGACCTTCTCATTCCCATCTTTCTGAGGCAAACCATCTCCTCCACTGGACAGCACAGCTTACTAAAACGCTGACCGTGGCTGGGCGACGGGCAGGGCCAGAAACACCTGCACTCCCAGCCAGGGGTGGACTGGCCAGCCTGCAGGAGAGGAGGGGTCATCTGCCACCCCAGGGTTACCACCTCCAGCCCGGTTTCCACCCCTTCGTTGCAGCCAGCAGCAGACGTCCTTCAAGCACATTGAGTCTCATTTTAACGTGCTGCTTTCCTGAACTACCGCGGAGCCCGTGGCACTGTACCTTCAAACCTCCGGTGACTGTCATAGTCCTCAGAGCAGGGCACCTCGATGAATCTCCCCGCCAGGACCTCGCCACGGCGGGCCAGGGCCTCCGTGACCCTGTCGTCGGCCCCCAGGCTGCTCCAGAGCAGGAATGCAGTCAGCACAAGGCCGGCCCCCAGGCCTGCAGTCCTCAGCCACGGCCTCTGCGTCTCCCGTGGGGCTCGGTCCTTCTTGCTGCTGAGAAAAGAAAACACGCCACGTCACCCAAACGTGGGGCGAGGCCAGCGGAACGCTCACACCAGTGATGACCAGCCTCAGGCTATGCCCACGTAACATCTGTTAGGGACGCTGACCTTTCATGGAGATGGGCTTCCGTCAACCCAAAAGCCACAGTCTCACTCACATCCCACTGGCTAGCCACACCAGGCAGGCTCCCGCAACGCAGGGGGTGGGAAGGGAAGTGTCTGCCCAGACCAAGGCTCCCCAGGATCTCTGGAAGAGGCGCAGCAGGGCTGTGTGTGACCCCACCCCATCTGACAGGCAAGGCTGACTGAATTTACTCCTACCCTGCCGCAGCCAGGCCCCGGAGCACCTGTTTGGAAGGTTCTGTGGGAGTCTGTCTCCAGTCACGCTGCCTGTACCCGCAAATGGCTGCCGCACCCCGCCCCCACATGCTCCCGGCACACACAAATGCACCTGTGTGCACACACGCAGGACCTGAACCAAGCCAGCCAGGAAGAGAATCCAAGCACACCAGGTGCAAATCTGCAAATTCACACACACACGATTTGTGAATAATATGCTTTCTGTACAACCCAGGGCTAACTGTGGAGCTCAAACAGCCCACACTGACACTGAGAATGCCTGTGTGTCTATGTAGGTGTTAACTGGGGCAGCCGTGAGCTCCATTATCCAGGAAAGTCTTTGGGGCTGTAGGTCTTGAAGGGCAGGCAGAACGTGAGAAAAGAGATGACAGCGTCCTTTCACGGAACTGCACTCTGTTTCTTCAAGTCTGTGACCAACTCCTGAAAAGCAGGGAACCTGCCTTTTATTTTCACACACCCTCAACACTTCACAGCACTCAGTAAATGACACACAAATTCCAACCAAATGCACTGCCTGATAGCAGCAGCACAGGCCATGCTGGGCAGATACAAGAGTATTTCCCACAGGAGTTACAGAGTTTTGGGGTGCCCCACTCACAAAGATCTCCCCTGAGAACACCAGCAATCCCTCCAGCCCACTCACAAAATCTCCCCACCCTTGAGAACACCAGTAACCCCTCCAGCCCACTCACAAAATCTCCCTACCCCTGAGAACAGCCAACCCAGCCCACTCACAAAATCTCCCCACCCCTGAGAACATGAGCAACCCCTCCAGCCCACTTACAAAATCTCCCCACCCCTGAGAACAGCCAACCCTTCCAGCCCACTCACAAAATCTCCCCACCCCTGAGAACACCAGCAACCCCTCCAGCCCATTCACAAAGACCTCCCCACCCCTGAGAACAGCCAACCGCTCCAGCCCACCAAGCCTCTGCTGCTTAGACCAGGGAGGATGCCTGACTCCAGCCAGGCCCATCACCTCTCCTCCCCTGGAATTCCAAATCTGGCAGAGACTGCCAGGCTTCTTAGCAGCAAGCAGCTGGACCCCTGTGCAGACCGTGCTGTGGATGACGTGTCCTCCCGGAGCTGGACAGGCAGAGACTCAGCCTGGCCGCTGGGACAGCAAGGGACAAGAAGTGGGAGCCTCAGAGGCCTCGGTCACAAGCGTCAAACCACAGCACCGTGCAGAGGAGAGTCATCGAAGCCTTCCTGATGGGTGTCACAGGAGCCTGGGGACATGAAGTAGAAGGCATCCGGGCAGAGAAGGGGACTGCTGCCCAGGCATGGGGGTGGAAAACTGCTCAGCATTGTGGGGAGCTAAAGGGGAAGGAGGGCAGAAGATCTCAAAGGGGACCAGGTGTCCTAACCAAGGCCTTGGGACGCCTCCCCCAGTCATCAAAGTGTATGCACCGTGACCCCACCTTCACCCACACCTCACCCCTGAAATGAGGGCTTCCTGCCTGGGGCCGGCACTGTCCACTCAGGAGGCACAAACAATTCCCTCCCTTTCCCTTCAGTGGTCTCTAAGTGCCTCCTGAGCCCAGGAGTTTGAGAAACACTGCAATAGAGACTCATGTGTTTTAGGCAGGAAAAACAAAAAGACTAGACATGGTCCTTATAAAGGCTACTTTAGGTCGGGCTCAGTGGCTCACACCTGTAATCCCTCAGGTGGATCACCTGAGGTCAGGAGTTCAAGACCAGCCTGACCAACGTGGTGAAGTCGTCTCTACTAAATACAAAAAAAAAAAAAAAAAAAAAATTAGCCAGGCATGGTGGCACATGCCTGTAATCCCAGCTACTTGGGAGGCTGAGGCAGAAGAACAGCTTGAACCCAGAAGGCACAGGTTGCAGTAAGCCGAGATTGTGCCACTGCACTCCAGCCCAGGTGACGAGAGTGAAACTGCATCTCAAAAAGTAAATAAATAAATAAAGGCCACTAATATGAAACGTTTCACAATAACAAAAGGATTTTTTTTTTCTTTTTGTTTTGAGACGGAGTTTCGCTCTTGTTACCCAGGCTGGAGTGCAATGGCGCGATCTCGGCTCACCGCAACCTCCGCCTCTTGGGTTCAGGCAATTCTCCTGCCTCAGCCTCCTGAGTAGCTGGGATTACAGGCACGTGCCACCATGCCCAGCTGATTTTTTGTATTTTTAGTAGAGACGGGGTTTCACCATGTTGGCCAGGATGGTCTCGATCTCTTGACCTTGTGATCCACCTGCCTCGGCCTCCCAAAGTACTCGGATTACAGGCTTGAGCCACCGCGCCCAGCTAAGACTTGTCTGTTTTGAAGTGTTATTCAAACTGAGACATTGGCCATTTGCGTGTGGGATTAACACCAAGGGTGCATTTTCTACAGAGTGGGGCATTGTTTTTCAAAGAGTCACTAGAGCACGTTCTGAGCAATACCCTATACCACATTTCAGGATGCTTTTTCTCAGGATAAATACAACATTCTATATTGGCCAGGTGCAGTGGCTCATACCTGTAATAGCAGCACCTTGGAAGGCTGAGGTGGGAGGATCACTTGAGCCCAGGAGGTGGAGGCTTCAGTGAGCCATAATCATACCACTCACTCTAGCCTGGGTGAGAGAGAGAGAGACCTTGTCTCAAAAAAAAAAAAAAAAAAAAGCGCTATATTTATTCATTAAATTTTAAAACAGAGTCTTACTCTAGCCCAGGCTGGAGTACAGTGGCACGATATCAGTTCACTGCAACCTCCACCTCCTGGGTTCAAGCAATTCTCCTGCCTCAGCCTCCCGAGTAGCTGGGATTTCAGGCACCTGCCACCATGTCCAGCTAATTTTTGTGTTTTTAGTAGAGACAGGGTTTAACCATGTTGGTCAAGCTGGTCTCAAACTCCTGACCTCAAGTAATCTGTCCACTTCAGCCTCCCAAAATTCTGGAATTACAGGAGAGAGCCACCACGTCCAGCCTCAAAAGTCTATATTTCTATACTAATCATTCAGTGCTGACAAAATCTGTTACTCAGCATTTCAGAAAATGTATAACTTAACTGGAAAAATTTTAAATGTGTTAAATAACTTCTCTATGTATTTGAAGGAAATATGTAGATGTATGTTTATAATTGAAATGTTCTTTTGGAGAGATTTGTTTCTGGGAGAAGGTAGAATCATCTTATAAATCATCTTATAAATCATCTCTAGGTCATTCATTTGTGTTAATACAGTTATGGCTGCATGCTAGTCTGACAGTAGTGGGTCCCCAGAACTTATTAACCTTAGTGTCACCACCATTGGTATACAACCCCCCCACTGCTGAATTTGATTGGCCAGGTGCAGTGGTTCAGGCCTGTAATCCCAGAACTTTGGGAGGCCAAGGCAGGCGAATCCCTTGAGGTCTGGAGTTTGAGACCAGCCCGGTCAACATGGTGAAACCCCATCTGTATGAAAAATACAAAAATTAGCCAGGTGTAGTGGCAGGTGCCTGTAATCCCAGCTACTCATAAGGCTGAGGCAGGAGAATCTCTTGAAACCAAGAGGTGGAGGTTGCCGTGAGCCGAGATTGTGCCACTGCACTCCAGCCTGGGCGACAGAGTGAGACTCCACCTCAAAAAAAAAAAAAAAAAAAAGAAAGAAAGAAAGAAAAAGAAAATATTATAGCTGTGAACTAGCATGAGGCATTTAGGATCTTATCTAGCAGACTCCAAGAGCAGCTGAGATGAAAGGGGGATAAAAATCTCAAGAACAAACTATGATGTGTAAGAGCTGCCGGAGCCTAGCCTAGCCAACCCTGAGGCATCCTCCTGATATTCCTTAACTGACAGCTTCAACGTGCAACTCGTCAATAGAGGGGAATTGGGCACTCCCAGAAGAGCAAGATATTAATATTAAGCAAGCGAGAAACTGTATTCGGCACGCTAGAGGATCCTTCACTAATACCTGCAAACTAAGGATCACCTGTAACATTTTAAAATCCTACAACTAAGCTATTCCTCCATGGAGGAATTCTGCAAACCTCTAGAATTCCACGGGAAAATCAGGCTTCGCGGTTTAAAAGGGCAGGCAGAGGCACGCTCCCGGCTCAGGCGGACTTTCCAGGCTGCTGGGCGGGTTACTCCACGGGACAGCGGAGCAGCAGCAGCTCAGCAGGCTGGGAGCAAATCCCCCTCCTCCTTCTCATCCCCCCGCGGGGTCAGTGGGCCTCCGCCGGCACCTGCTCCGCTCCCAGCGTGGGAAGCGGCAGGCCCCGCCCTCCGCGGCAGACCACGCCCCGCCCGGCCCCGCCCCCGCCACTGCCCCGCCCCCGCCACTGCCCCGCCCCCGCCACTGCCCCGCCCTCCGAGGCAGACCACGCCCCCTGCCCCGCCCCGTCGGCAGGGCCCCGCCCCGCCCACGCCACGGCCCCGTCCGCCAATGCGGCGCGCGCCCTTCCCGTCCTCGCCGCTACCTGCTCCGGCTCCGCGGCTCGGCCGCTCCGTTGCCCTCGGGCGCCTTGGTTGCGGCCCTCCGCTGAGGCGCCATCGCGCCAGACCGCGTTGGAGCCGGGCCGGACGCGGGAACCGCCGGACCCGGGGACCAACGCCGTGACAGGGAGCGCGAGGCGGGCGCGGCGCAGGGACGCGAGAGCGACGCGCTCGACCATCGGCCCCCGGGCTGGCGGCCAGGCCCGAGCAATCGGCGGCCGAGCGGGGCGGGGCTCGGAGCGGAGGCGGCGGTCACGTGGGCGGGGCGGCGGCGGCGCAGGTGAGGTGCGGGGGCGGCGCTGGCGCGGGGGGCGCGGCCGGGCTGCGGCGCTGCGGGGCTGCCGGGAGGGGCCTGCGCGGGGCCTGGGGCTGAAAGCCGCGTGTCGTCGGTGAAAGCTGGGCGTGTCCGTGAGCACCGCCGGCCTGCCCTGCTGAGCCGCGGCTCCGTTGCCCAGAACCGGGGGTGGAATCTGAACCGAGTCTGTCTCACGTGCAAAGGTTTTCTTTCCCTGTCTCACTCCATCCTTTGTGCTTTTGTGATAGGTAGGAAAACGAACACAGACGTTTTACTTTTCCCCAGCTGCTTCGTGATTCCCTGGCTGCCGGTTTTATTCATCAATGTGCTGCTGCAGTCAGCTCTGGTGCACTTGGGGCTTTTTAAACATTACCAGCTTTCTTCAAATCCTAGACAGTTTTCTCCAAGCTGGAGTCAGCTTTACAGTGTCTTCCTCCTTATAATCAAGCTGATCTGAGCTCTAGAAATACATATTAGCTTTAGTGTTATCTAAAATTAGGATAAATTTCCTGCAGGGGCGTCATACCGTGGAGCCTGGTAAGATGTTTAGAGGCTTCTGCAGGACTGTTTTCACTGGCATAGTACATCTAGTAACTAGATTCTAGTTTAACAAGGTCTTTAAAACAAAGTTGTTCTGCAGTTATTTGTGTCGTTATAGGTCATAACCGTCTTGTAAAAAAACCAGTGCTGTTTTGTTTTAACAGCAAATCACAAATAGCAGAGGTCTCTATATTTGAACATGCAGGTGGACTTCTGGTTCATTTTCATGTTGGCAAAATGAGTTTCCTCCGAGTTAATCAATCAAAACTGGGGCCGGGTGCAGTGGCTCACGCCTGTAATCCCAGCACTTTGGGAGGTCGAGGCAGGTGGATCACGAGGTCAAGAGATCGAGACCATCCTGGTCAACATGGTGAAACCCTGTCTCTACTAAAAAAAAAAATACAAAAAATTATCTGGGCATGGTGGCACGTGCCTGTAATCCCAGCTACTCAGGAGGCTGAGGCAGGAGAATTGCCTGAACCCAGGAGGCAAAGGTTGCAGTGAGCCGAGATCGCGCCATTGCACTCCAGCCTGGGTAACAAGGGCGAAAGTCCGTCTCAAAAAAAAAAAAAAAAAAAAAAAAATTAGATAGGTATGGTGGTGGGTGCATGTAATCCCGCTACTCCGGAAGCTGAGGCAGGATAGCTTAAACCAGGGAGTCGGTTGCAGTGAGATGGAGATTGCGCCACTGTACTCCAGCTTGGGGACAGAGCAAGACTCTCTCTCAAAGAAAACAAAACGAAACAAAAACACTGGCCAGTATCAGAACTGAAACAAAATATAAAGGGAAGGGCAAAGGGAGACGCTTCTGCCCCTGTTGATAACTCTGATTTTCTCCACTAGGAAGAAGTCCCCAAGGAGACTTTGCCATAGGAGTTCACAGAAAATACTGAAATGTCAGGTTCCACGCCATTTAAGATGAGATTAGTTCATTTAGACCTGAAAGGAGCTCCACCAAAGGTCTCCTACCTCTCCGAGGTAAGGACTTCCTTTTACCTCTGGAGCATCACTTTTTGCCTTGGCTTCAGTCTTTAAAGTTTGGAGCGGTGTTCTGTGGAAATGGGTGCCCAGAACACAACCACAAGGTTCTTGGTAGAGGAAGATGGTGGCAGCAGCATGGGTTTTGAATTTCCCCCGTAGCCTCTCACAAAAACAGAACAACCAGGATGGCAACAGGAAAATAAGGAGAACAAAAGAAACTCACGGCCTCCTCGTTGGGGGTTGAAGTGTGTCCTTCCAGCCGTGACTGCTGGGACCTGTGAATGTGACTGTATTTGAAAGAGGATCTTTGCAGATGTCATCAAAATAAGATGAAGTTATACTAAAATACGGTGAACCCTAATCCAGGGATTGGCATCCTTAGGAGGGGAGGGAAATTCAGAGCCTGAGACGCTCGGAGGGAAGGCAGAGTGAAGACCCAGGAGGACACCCCTCGGTGACAGCAGCCGAGGTGGCCATGACGTGCCACCGATACGGGATGCAGAGGACTGCTGGAGAGAGGGTCCTCCCCTGCAGCCTTCCGGGAGAGCTGGGTCTGTCCCCACCTGGATTTTGGACTTGGGGCCTCCAGAACTGTGAGAGAATTAATTTCTGTTGTGTCAAGCCACCTAGTTGATGGTCATTTATTAGAGCACCCCTAGAAAACTAAGATAATCTTCAACAAAACTAGGCATCTCCATGGATGTCCCCATGGATCCCAAACCGCAAGTGGGTGGGGCCAAACCACAGACAGATAACACCCACATGGGTTAGCAGCCAAGCAGGCGGTGACAGAGGGCAGAGAAGGGGAAGCTCCAACAGTGCCAGGACGAGAGGCCCCAGAAAACGGCCTCAGAAGTAAAGCTCTCCCACAGTGAGAAACGGGGGCAGCTCTTACTGGCTCCAGGGTGCGATTGAGCGTAGAGACTTAAAGGAGCATGTGGGGGAGGCCCAAGGCCACGAGGCACTCAGAAATACCTGATGAAACTCTTCCACGGGGACAGAGCCCCCCACTAAGGACACCACAGGGAAAGTCCACATCAAACTGGGCAGGAACAGCCAAGGGAAAGGGGAATGCTCAGCTCCTGGCTGAGGTGGAGGTCAGAAAACACAGCAGAAGCAGCTACACAGAGCCTGCAGTTTCTGATACTGCGGGGCAGCCGAGGACGAGGGGCCTTGAGGCTGGCCTGTCACCATTGCAAATGCAGGAGCCTGTTCTTAAAAATGAGCAACAGGCCAGGCACGGTGGCTCACGCCTGTAATCCCAACACTTTTGGAGGCCAAGGCTGGCAGATCACTTGAGGTCAGGAGTTCACGACCAGCCTGGTCAGTATGGAGAAACCTCGTCTCTACCGCTAAAAGTACAAAAATTAGCCGGCACAGTGGCGCACGCCTGTCGTCCCAGCTACTCGGGAGTCTGAGGCAGTAGAATTGCTTGAACTCAGGAGGCAGAGGTTGCAGTGAGTCAAGATTACACCACTGCACTCCAGCCAAGGTGACAGAGCAAGACACCATCTCAAAAAAGAAAAAAGCAGGAAAGAGTGTTGTTAAACATCACACAAAGATATGTAAGAGAAAAGATGATTTGCAGAGCATTGCAGCAGTGAAGGTGCTCCAGAAACGGGCCCACCCAGCAGGAGATGCTGCTCCCTGATATTTCAAAATGAGATAAAAGATATTCAGAAGATGACAGAAGCAGTGATCAGAAATAGAAAAGCCCAGGCCAGGTGCAGTGGGCTCATGCCTGTAATCCCAACACGTGGGAGGCCAAGGCGGGCAGATCACTTGAGGCCAGGAGTTTGAGACCACCCCGGCCAACATGGTGAAACCCTGTGTCTACTAAAAATACAAAAATTAGCCGGGCCTGGTGGCAGGTGCCTGTAATCACAGCTACTCAGGAGGCTCAGGCACGAGAATTGCTTGAACCTGGGTGGCGGAGGTTGCAATGAGTTGAGGTCGTGCCACTGCACTCCAGCCTGGGTGACAGAGTGAGACTCAGTCTCAAAAAAAAAGGAGAAAGCGAGAGAAGGAGATAGAAAAGCCCAGAAATGTGGTAACCAGACAAAAGGAGGGTCTGAAACCATTGCCTGTGGAGCTCAGGAATGAATTATAAGGAAAAAAAAAAATTTTTTTTTAATGAAAACTAGAAGCACAAAAATGAATAGATACCATGGAAAATGCAGTATATGGAAACATGACAGAAAAGAAGAAAGCAAACATGGAGAGGTTAGCAGACATTCCGACAAATCGAACGTAAGCTGAGGAGACTGAACCTACGTACAGCTGCAGTCTCTTGTTTCTGGTATCTGTTCCTGCGTAACGGATCACCCCAAACTTAAGACCCCCGTTCATCACCGCTCGTGTTTCTGTGGGTTGGCTGCTTGGTTCTACTTTTCTTTTTGGTTTTTTTTTTTTTTTTTTTTTTTGAGACAGAGTCTCATTCTGTCACCAAGGCTGGAGTGCAGTGGCACAATCTTGGCTCCCTGCAACCTCCACCCCCCGAGTTCAAGTGATTCTCCTGCCTCAGCCTCCCCAGTAGCTGGGACTACAGGCGCCCGCCACCATGCCCAGCTAATTTGTTGTATTTTTAGTAGAGACGGGGTTTCGCCATCTTGGCCAGGCTGGTCTTGAACTCCTGACCTCATGACCCACCCACCTCGGCCTCCCAAAGTGCTGGGATTACAGGTGTGAGCCACCTTGCGTGGCCGTGGTTCTGCTTTTGTGACTGAGGTTCCCTCATGTGATCACAGCCCCGTGACATGTAGAAACACCTGATAGTCCACGTGGCCTTCCGTGTCCAGCAGTTTGTCCCGACTGTCAGCTGCGGCTCCTTGGTTCTCCATGCTCTTGTGGTCCCAACTCCTTAGAGGCTGAGGCTGGAGGATCACTAGAGCCCAGGAGTGGGAGGCTGCAGTGAGCCATGACAGCACCAGCACACTCCAGCCAGGGTGACAGAGTGAGACATGTGTGTTAAAAAAAAAAGAGAGACGTCAGGCACAGTGGCTCACACCTGTAATCCCAGCATTTTGGGAGACCGAGGCAGGCAGATCACCTGAGGTCAGGAGTTCAAGACCAGCATGGTGAAACCCCAGCTCCACTAAAAATACAAAGATTAACTGGGTATGGGGGTGGGCACTTGTAGTCCCGGCTACTTGGGAGGCTGAGGCAGAATTGCTTGAACCTGGGACAGGTGGAGGTTGCAGTGAGCTGAGATCACACCATTGCACTCCAGCCGGGGTGACAGAGTGGGACTCTATCAAAAAAAAAGGAAGTGGGGAGAAGAATGAGGGGAAAGGGACCCCGTGAGAACAGCCCAGGAATACATGAGTTCTGCACCCCTCTCTCACCTCCCGCAGGCGCTGACCCCAACCCTTCAGAGCCCTGCTCCCCACCCCCCACCAGCTCCTTCTGCCCAGTTCCCCGTGCCTTGGCGGTGCCCTTCAGCCTGGCTGCCTTGCCCCGTCCCCCATGCCTTGGTGGTGCCCTTCAGCCTGGCTGCCCTGCCCAGTTCCCCGTGCCTTGGTGGTGCCCTTCAGCCTGGCTGCCCTGCCCTGTCCCCCATGCCTTGGTGGTGCCCTTCAGCCTGGCTGCCCTGCCCTGTCCCCCGTGCCTTGGTGGTGCCCTTCAGCCTGGCTGCCCTGCCCAGTTCCCCATGCATGAAGAGCTGCTTTAAGGTGGGCGTCAGCTGGCGGGAGCGCTCTCTCCCCAGCTGAGCCGCCAGTGCTGACCTGTTGAGTAGCAGCCCTGTTTTACAAAATAGCACCCCTCCTGTGCAAAATAGACAGTCACTGGAACGGGGAGTTCATTTGGCATAGTGTAAAGCGCACATTCCGGATTTAGGCTTCCGGGAGAAATAGGAATGTTGGCTCCCACAGTCTCCATGCTGTGGACGTGTTACGTGTTCCAGCGGTCACTTCTTCCCAACCTATCCCTGTTTACCCCCCAGATTTTTCCTCTGTTCCGTGCGCTGGGTGCAAACGGCCTCCTCATTGAGTATGAAGACATGTTTCCCTATGAGGGCCCTCTGAGGCTGCTGAGGGCGAAGTATGCCTACAGGTAACACCACCGCCCGAGGCAGGGACAGGGAGGTGGGAGAGTGGGGAAGGGGGTTCCGCAGGGCGGAAGGAGCAGCAGCCTGCAGGTACGGGTGGAACAGGGACCCAACAGTGGTGGGTATGTTCCTTTTTTGTTTAATTTTTAAATTCATCTCTTCAATTGTAAAAATTAATTATAAAATGAAAACATTTCAAACATTCACTGGAGAGAATTCTGAAACATTTAAAGAGAAAGTCACCATCAGCAGTGCCCCCACAGGGAAGCGCTGCAATTCCTGTCTGTCCTGCAGGCGTTTCCTCTGCTGCAGAAGCTGGAGAAGGCGTCTGGGCGGGGAGCCTTGAGTGAGAGAAGCGATTAAAGGGGAGAAAATAAAAATCAGTAAAATCAGGAGTGGTGGAGATGGGAGGCTCCTGCTCGGCTTTAAAATCACAGGTCTCAGTGAAAATCAAAATACCCCGAAGGATAATTGCACAACGGACATTAACTGGCCAATCCCAAAGGAGGACACAAAAGTGGGCAATAAGCTTATAAGAAAATGTAAAGGCCAGGCGCGGTGGCTCAAGCCTGTAATCCCAGCACTTGGGGAGGCCAAGGTGAGCAGATCACTCGAGGTCAAGAGTTCGAGACCAGCCTGGCCAGCATGGTGAAACCCCATCTTTACTGAAAATACAAAAATTAGCCGGGCATGGTGGCGCACACCTGTAGTAGTAGTCCCAGCTACTCGGGAGGCTGAGGCAGGAGGATCACTTGAACCAGGGAGGCGGAGGTTGCATTGAGCCAAGACCGCACCACTGGACTCCAGCCTGGACGACAGAGCAAGACCGTCTCAAAAAAACAAAGAAAAGAAAATGTTAAACAGGCTGGGCACAGCGGCTCCTATGTGTAATCCCAGCACTTTGGGAGGCCAAGGCAGTAGGACCACTTGAAGCAAAAACTTTGAAACCAGCCTGGGCAACATAGGGAGATGCCTTGTATACAAAAAAAAAAAAAAACATGGTTATGCCCACTGGTGGTCCCAGCTACTCAAGTGGCTGAGGTGGGGGAATCCCTTAAGCCTCAAAGTTCAAGGCTGCTGTGAGCCATGATTGCACCATGCCCTTCAGCCCAGATGACAGAGCAAGTCCCTGTCTCAAATAAATAAACAATTTTTTTAAGACGCAGTCTCACTCTGTTGCCCAGGCTAGGGTGCAGTGGTGGGATCTCAGCATCTCAGCTCACAGCATCCTCCGCCTCAGCAATTCTCCTTCAGCCTCCCAAGTAGCTGGGATGCTGCCTGGCTAGTTTTTTGTTTATTTGTTTTGTTTTTTGTAGTGATGGGGTTTTACCGTGTTGCCCAGGCTGGTCTCGAACTCCTGAGCTCAAGCTGTCCGCCTGCCTTGACCTCTGAAAGTACAGAGATTATAGGTGTGAGCCACTGCACCCAGCCTAAATAAATAATTTTTAAAAAACGAAATCAGTTTAAGGGGAAAAAAGTGGCTGGACACAGTGGCTCACACCTATAATGCCAGCATGTTAGAAGACCAAGGCAGGAGGATCGCTTGAGCTCAGGAGTTCAAGGCCAGCTGGGGCAACATGGTAAAACCCCACCTCTACATAAAATGCAAAAATCAGCCAGGCATAATGGCATGGGCCTGCAGTCCAAGCTACTCGGGAGGCTGAGGAAGGAAGATGGCTTGAGCCTGGTGTGAGGTCTTTGTTTTCTGAGATGGAGTTTTGCTCTTGTCACCCAGGCTGCAGTGCAATGGTGCAGAAGCGATTCTCCAAGTAGCTGGGATTACGGGCATGCGCCAACACGTCTGGCTAATTTTTGTGTTTTTAGTAAAGACAGGGTTTCTCCATGTTGGTCAGGCTGGTCTTGAACTCCCAACCTCAAGTGATCCACCCACCTCAGCCTCCCAAATACTGGGATTACAGGCGTGAGCCACTGCACCCAGCCCCCAGCCTGGTGTTAGGTTTCTTAAAGGGAAAGTGAGGGTTAGAGAAAGACACAGAACCTGCCAGGCACGGCGGCTCACGCCTGTAATCCCAGCACTTTTGGAGGCTGAGGCAGGCGGATAACCTGAGGTCAGGAGTTCGAGGTCAGCCTGGCCAACATGGTGAAACCCCGTCTCTACAACAGATACAAAAATTAGCCAGGCGCAGTGGCAGGTGCCTGTAATCCCAGCTACTCAGGAGGCTGAGACAAGAGAATTGCTTGAACTCAGGAGGCGGAGGTTGCGGTGAGCTGGGATGGCGCCATTGCCCTCCAGCCTGGGCGACAGAGCGATACTCCATCTCGAAAACAAAAAGAGAGGGCATCTCTGCAGCAAAACGGGTATATTGCAGACACCTACAGAAGTGGGGGACCAACTTAATGCTGGAGCCCACCGCCACTTGCAGGCTGGGGTACTTGTAGACCGGGGCAGGAGGGGTTGGGGCAGTGTGGCATGCTGCCCAGGAAGGTGTTGAGAAGATGCCCATGATGAGGCACTTGGGCCCTTGTTCCCGCAGAATGTGATGTTCCTAGCAGTTTTTCCCAGCAGAATGTGATAGGGATGTTCCTTCAGTTGGGCCTTTGCACAGCAGGGTGTGAGGAAGATGTGCCTGTGCCTTGTGATAAGGTAGTTGGGCAGGAAGTTTCTCACGGCCCGAACCCCTGTGGAATGTTTCACTTTGGCCACGGTCTGTGAAATGGCAGGGGCTTGTAAAATGGTGCAGCTTGGACTAACCCAGGAGCCAGAGGCTGCAGTGAGCCGAGATTGTGCCACTGTACTCCAGCCTGGGCAGTGGAGCCAGACCCTGTCTCAAAAGAAGAAAGAAAGTGTTAAACCCTCATAGTATTCACATCAAAGAAACTAAATCAACAATGCAGCACCATCCTGGCTACCAAACTGGTAAAGCTTTTTAAAAAATTGTAAGACTCTGTGTTTATGAGACTGAGAAAAAGCAAACTACCTGCTGGTGAGTGTAAAGTGACGGGTGCTCTGGAAGCCCTTCGGCTCCATGTGTGAAAACTCCAAAATACCTGTGCCCCGTGCAACCCGTGTGTGGTTAGGCCGGAAGATGGGAACGGTGAGCCAGGGTGTTAGCCTGCGATGAGATGATCGGGGCTTAGCATTTTCTTCATACTCTTCTAGTATTTGTTTTACAGTGAAGATGTTTTGTGTCTTTCTTTTTTTTTTTTTTTTTGAGACGGAGTTTTGCTCTTGTCACCCAGGCTGGAGTGCAATGGCGCGATCTCGGCTCACCGCAACCTCCGCCTCCTGGATTCAGGCAATTCTCCTGCCTCAGCCTCCTGAGTAGCTGGGATTACAGGCACGCGCCACCACGCCCAGCTAATTTTTTTTTGTATTTTTAGTAGAGACGGGGTTTCACCATGTTGACCAGGTTGGTCTCGATCTTGTGATCCACCCGCCTCGGCCTCCCAAAGTGCTGGGATTACAGGCTTGAGCCACCGCGCCCGGCCTTGTGTCTTTCAATGTGAGAAAGTGCCAGGGTGCCTTTGAAGCTTGAAAGAGGAATATTTAAAGACTTTATAACTCATAAATTTATAGAACTGATTAGTCTAAAATGGTTCAAACATATACAAAAACTAGAAATAGCTTTTATTTTTAGATAAATTCATAAGTGACAACTCATGGAAAGCTTGTGAAAAACAAAGGTCGACAGGGGGCAGCCAGCCCTTCCCGGGATGTGTGCCGCAGGGATTGCTTCAGGCCAAGGGCCCTGGGGTGGACCTGCCCTCGGGCCAGCTGCTGACCCCGCGTCTGGAATGTGTGGCTCCTTGTATAGGTTTGTGTGTGTGCGCGCGTGTGTGCGTGTGTGTGCGCGCACGCATGTGAGAGACAGAGTCTTGCTGTCTGCCCGGCTAGAGTGCAGTAGCGCAATGTCAGCTCACTGCAACCTCTGCCTCCCGGGTTCAAACAATTATCCTGCCTCAGCCTCACACGTACCTGCGACTACAGGCACATGCTACCAGGCCCAGCTAATTTTAGTATTTTTAGTAGAGACGGTTTCAGCATGTTGGTCAGGCTGGTCTCAGACTCGTGACCTCAAATGATCCACCCACCTTGGCCTCCCAGAGCGCTAGGATTACAGGCATGAGCCACTGTGCCGGCCTTGTGTAGCTTCTTGTAAAATGCCATGACTTCATTCTCTGGTCAAGGGTTGAAAAGCAAACTGGGCCAGGCACGGTGGCTCATGCCTGTAATCCCAGCACTTTGGGCAGCCAAGGCAGGCAGATCACGAGGTCCAGAGATCGAGACTATCTTGGCTAACATGGTGAAACCCTGTCTCTATTAAAAATACAAAAATTAGCTGGGTGTGGTGGCGCGCGCCTGTAGTCCCAGCTACGTGGGAGGCTGAGGCAGGAGAATCACTTGAACCCAGAAGGCTGGGGTTGCAGTGAGCCGAGATCGCACCACTGCAGACCACCCTGGCAACAGAGTGAGACTCTGTCTCAAAAAAAAAAAAAAAAAAAAATAGCAAACTGTTGCTCGAAGATTTGAACATCATCTTCCCAAATTTTAGAGCAGGTGCCATTCCAGAAACCAGGGTATCTATCAAGCTTTGTGGAGTTAGGGCTTCAGCGTTTCCGGGAGAGCCCCCCAGGGCCCGACGAGGAGGGACTGGGGGAGTGTGGATGTCGTGTGCTGCCCACACGACCCTCTCTCTGCATGAATTTTGTCTCTCCAGCCCCTCGGAAATCAAGGAGATCCTGCATCTGGCTGGACTCAATGAGCTGGAAGTGATTCCACTGGTGCAGACGTTTGGGCACATGGAGGTGAGTGGCAGGAATGGAAGTGACCTGGTGGCAGGCGTGGGGTCCCGGGGCTGCAGGGTGGGCCAGGCTTGTGCCCAGCAGAAGGCGGAGCGGGGCCGTGGTTGGGGTGCAGGCGGCGTAGTGCGGCACAAGACGGGGAGGCCGTTGCTCTAGGAAGCCCCTCGCTGCCTGACTGGGTCAGAGCTGCAGGTCGGGGCACTTCTCTGCCTGTGGAATGGAAGGGAAGAGCCAGAAACAGGGTCCTGGAGGCTGGGGGGCGGTTTCCTTTTTAATCTGTATTCACCAGAATATTATTATCTGAGGTAAACACAGTATTAAGGAAAGAAAAGCTGCTTTTCAGGCCGGGTGCAGTGGCTCAGGCCCATAATTTCAGCACTTTGGGAGGCTGAGGTGGGTGGATCACCTGAGGTGAGGAGTTTGAGACCAGCCTGGCCAACATGGTGAAACCCAGTCTCTATTAAAAATACAAAAATTAGCTGGGCGTGGTGGTGGGCCCCTGTAGTCCCAGCTACTCGGGAGGCTGAGGCAGGAGAATCGCTTAAACCCGGGAGGTGGAGGGTGTGTGAGCCAGGATCGAGCCAGGCACTCCAGCCTGGGCGACAGAGCAGACTCCATCTAAAAAGAGAAACATATATATTTATGTATTTCATGTCTGCATCAAACAAATAGGAAGCGATGCAACGTTAACACCACACGGATTTAATGGCTCTTAGATTCCATTTATTTCTCTAACAGATATGCCATTCTGGCTTCTGTTTCCACACACCGTGGGAAAGAAGGCTGTTTTCCCTCAGCCATACACCGGTGTTCTGCGCGTGCCACGAGTTCCCTCCCACAGCGCCATCCTCCCGGCCTTTCTAGTCAGTTCTCTACACCTCGCTGTGTTCTGGGACCTGGCGTGCACTCTTGGCCTCCTGCCGCCTCTCCACTAAACGTCTCTCCCGAGGCCTGGGCTGTCCTCCAGGTCACTAAGTCCTCTCCAGCTTGACCTCTCAGTAGCGTCTAGCATCACCAGTGCTCTCCTGAGCCCCACACTCTCTGGCTTCCCCTGCCTCTGACTGCACCGCCTCGTTAACCATTTTCATTTGCCTCCCTGTAGCTGGCTGTCCCCCAGGCCCCTCTTGACCCCTGTCCCCAGCTCCCTCTCTCTTCTAGATGGTGCCATTTCTGCTCCTGCTTCCTCTTTCTCTTCTTATCTGCACCTCAGCGACTCCAGACCCCTAGACCCAGCTGCCTGCTGGTCACTTTTGTTTAGGTGCCTCCCCCAGCCTCTGGTATACAAACCAGAAGCAGACCAGTCACGGTCAGCACCCCTACCCACACGCGCCCCCACCCACGTCCGTCCTGCTGCTGCTCCTCCTCCTCTGTTGTGTGGGCAGCACCCCTGTCTGAACCACCACCGCCTCACTGTGACACTCTCCTCTGACGGGTCTCCCGGGGCCACTTTTGTCTCCCAGCCCCCTCCCCCCCACAGCAAGTCACAGCACAGCTCTGACCACGCACACATGCCATCTCCGTAAAAGACACTGTTGTCAGGGCAGAAATGATCACCACAAACCAGGTGGCTTAAAGCAACAGAAATGTTCTCTCGGTTCTGGAGACCAGACATCCGAAATCAGCATGTCGGAGGGTGGGTTTCTTACTGATGAAGACCTTCCATGTGTAGACTTACCATTAGTATACCTTTTTTGTTTCTGAGACAGGGTCTCGCTCTGTTGCCCAGACAGGAGTGCAGTGGTGCAACCTCAGCTCGCTACAACCTCTGCCTCCCGAGTTCAAGTGATTCTCCTGCCTTTGCCTCCCGAGTAGCTGGGACTACAGGTGCACCCCACCATGCCCAGTTAATTTTGTGTCTTTTTAGTAGAGTTGGGGTTTCAAGTGTTGGCCAGGCTGGTCTCGAACTCCTGGCCTCAGGTGATCTTCCTGCCGCGGCCTCTCAAAGTCCTGGGATTACAGGTGTGAGCCACGGTAAGCCTGGGCTGCTACACCCTCTTGGTATACTGGAAATGACTGCTCAGGCGTTTTGCCCTTTTTTTCCAACTTGAGTTTTTAAAGTTCTTTATATGTTCTAGATACAAGTCCTCTGATGTTACATAATTTGCAGGTAATTTCTCCCAGTGTGTAGCTTACATGCTTCCAGTGTCATTTCTAAAACCTCTTTGTGATCACTGGCTCAAAAAGATTGTTCCTATATTTTCTTTGAAAGTTTTATTTGTGTGCATTTTTCATTTAGGTCTGTGATCCATTTTGAGTTTATTTCCTTCTCCAAAACTCTTGAACATCCACATTTTTTGTCTTGAGACAGAGTCTCACTCTGTCACCCAGGCTGGCGTGCAGTGGTACAACCACAGCTCACTGCAGCCTTGAAGTCTGGGCTCAAGCCTCCTGAGTAGCTGGGACCACAGGTGTGCACCACTGCACCTGGCTAATTTTTTAAATTATTTGTGGAGACCAGGTCTCACTTTGTTGCCCAGACTGGTCTTGAACTCCTGGCCTCAAACAGTTCTCCTACCTCGGCTTCTTGGAATGCTAGAATTACAGGCGTGAGGCTGGGCACGGTGGCTCACACCTATAATCCCAGCACTTTGGGAGGCTGAAGCGGGTGGATCACGAGGTCAAGAGATTGAGACCATCCTGGTCAACAAGGTGAAACCCCGTCTCTACTAAAAATACAAAAATTAGCTGGGTATGGTGGTGCGTGCCTGTAGTTCCAGCTACTCGGGAGGCTGAGGCAGAAGAATTGATTGAACCCAGGAGGCGGAGGTTGCGGTGAGCCGAGATCACGGCATTGCACTAACAACAGTGAAACTCCATCTGAAAAAAAAACACAAAAAGAATTACAGGCATGAGCCATTGCACCTGGCCCCATTTTGAGTTAATTTTTGTTGTTGTTTATTTTCCTTTTTCTGGAGAATGGGGGGTCTCACCGTGTTGCTGGGCTGATCTCAAACTTCTCTGCTCAAGGGAATCTCCCACCTTTGCCTCCCTAGGTGCTAAGTTTTGTTTGTTTGTTTGTTTGTTTGTTTTTGAGACAGAGTCTCGCTCTGTCGCCCAGGTTGGAGTGTGGTGGTTCGATCTGGGCTCGCTGCAACCTCTGCCTTTTGAGTTCAAGCAGTTCTCCTGCCTCAGCCTCCCGAGTAGCTGGGATTACTGGCACCCACCACCATATCTGGCTAATTTTTGTATTTTCAGTAGAAGCGGAGTTTCGCCATGCTGGCCAGGCTGGTCTCAAACTCCTGACCTCAAGCGATCCACCTGCCTCAGCCTCCCAAAGTGCTGAGATTACAGGCATGAGCCGCCATGCCCAGCTTCCCTTCATTCTTAGAACATATTCTTTAGTTTTCTTGAAATATTTGGTAAATTCTACATGTGGGCCCACTGAGAGTCAGTCTGTTAACTGGATTCTACTTTCGAGGAGTTTATTTGCTTGCACATCTCAGAATCGTTGGTTGAGAGCTGACCATTTCAGTTAATTCATGATAGCGAAGCTGAATGTTTACTGTTTTCCCAGTGGGTGCTGGTGGTGGCTTTGTTGTTTCCCAGCAAGTGGCCTGCATTTAACCTGCAGGACCTGCCCCCGGCTGCGTGCTCACTGCTGGCTGTGCTGAGATGTTTTTCTTCTTATTTTTATGTTTTAGCCTGGCTTCCTGGGGTCACCCCTCCGTCTTCATCATTGGCGGTCGGCCGAGCGTTTGGGCAGAGGTTACGCGCGCACACTTCGAGCCCACAGCCTCCTCCCCGTGCCGCGGGGCTGTGTGTGGGCGGTGGGGGTGGGGGGCACCCCAGGTTCTTGAAGTTCCCACCTGGCCCTCTCGGGTCCCTGTATGTGTGTGGCCCCATCAGCCAGGCCTGGGGAGAGCCTGCGGCACCGCCTGCCTTTGTTTCCAGGGTCACGCATTAAACCTCCAGCCCGTCCTGGACCCCGTCTTCTGGCAAGTAGGAGATGGCGTTTTCTCCAGCTGATGCTTTTACTGACAGTGTCCCCAAAAGGGGTGGGCTTTTACCCAGCCTCAAGTCAAGTCTGCCCCCCTGGCAGCAAAGCTGTGGTTTCCACAGTGAGGGGGAAGGGGCAGTGAGTCACCCTAGGCCAAGGCCTTCTCTGTTCTCACCCAGAGTCGCAGCGGTCTTTCACACATGAACACTCTCTTTTTTTTCTTTTCAGAGATAGGGTCTCGCTCTGTCGCCTGGGCTGGAGTGTGGTGGTGCGGTCTCAGCTCACTGCAGCCTCAACTTCCTAGGCTCCAGTGATCTTCCTGCCTCAGCCTCCCAAGAAGCTGGGACCACAGATGGGTGCCACCACACCCAGACACTTTTGTTTTCCTTAAACTGATTTTGTTTTAAAAAAAATTTATTTAGGCCGGGCACAGTGGCTCACACGTGTAATCCAAACACTTTGGGAGGCCAAGGCAGGTGGATCACTTGAGGTCAGGAGTTCGAGACCAGCCAGGCCAACGTGGCAAAACCCCATCTCTATTAAAAAAACAAACATTAGCCAGGCATGGTGGCACCTGCCTGTAATCCCAGCTCCTTGGGAGGCTGAGGTGGGAGGATCACTTGAACCCAGGAGGCAGAGGTTGCAGTAAGCTGAGATCATGCCACTGCACTCCAGCCTGGGCAACAGAACGGGACTCCATGGGGTTTCACCGTGTTGCCCAGTCTGGTCTCAGACTCCTGAGTTCAAGCATTCCACCCACCTCAGGCTCCCAAGGTGCTGGGATTACAGGAGTGAGCCTCTGCACCTGGCCTAATTTTTTTAATTGTCCATAGATTTGAAACAGGAGCCCCAGGTGGGCAGAAGGAGCTCGGCACAGCTCCTCCACCCGCAATACAAGCGCCTCTGTGTCTCTGCAGTTTGTGCTGAAGCACGCGGCCTTCGCCCACCTGCGGGAGGTGGGCCCCTTCCCCTGCACCCTGAACCCCCACGAGGCGGAGTCCCTGGCACTGGTGGGCGCCATGATCGACCAGGTCCTAGAGCTGCACCCGGGTGCCCAGCGGCTGCACGTCGGGTGTGATGAGGTGGGTGCCACTGCCCCAGCTCTGCAGGCCACGCTCACTGTCACGGCTTGTCCTTTTAAATAGGAAAACCTTCCAGGCACTGAGGCCTAGAGACAGGCTTGTTCCCCTCAGGGAGCCCTGTCCAGTATCTTCTCCGGGTGGATAGGCGGCCTGCAGAGCCCAACGGAGGCACCCTCGTGTCAGATGAGAACACCCTGGGTGGCGGGGCTGGCAGAGGCCTGCGGGTGTTGGGCAGGTTCACGCCCCGGGACTGGCAGTCAGCGTGAGTCAGGGTGCAACTTGAGACACACGCTTTCGTTGCTGAGAAGTAGTTCTGCACTTGGGCCCTGAAGCACTCATTGGAAAAGGTGGCCCCCAGGGGGTGCTGGAGACATGCCCCCTCCAGGCAATGAGCGCCCACCCTCGCCCCTCCCTCCGCTCGCTGGACTCCAGCTCAGTCAGGACCTGGGCAGGATGCGGAGCTGACAGGGCAGGGTTAGCGCCAGCGGAGCTGGGAGGTTCTGCAGGGCTGCGGCTCACAGGGTCGGACCTAAACCTTTTAGCCCCAGAAGTTTCCTTTTTGAAGGAAATCTGGATGCATAAAATAAACAGAAACTTTATGGTTCTCACCACTTAAAAATACAGGCCGGGTGCGGTGGCTCATGCCTGTAATACTAGCACTTTGGGAGCCCGAGGTGGGTGGATCACCTGAGGTCAGGAGTTTGAGACCAGTCTGGCCAACATAGTGAAACCCCGTCCCTACTAAAAATACAAAAACTAGCTGGGCGTGGTGGCGGGCACCTGTAGTCCCAGCTACTCAGGAGGCTGAGGCAGGAGAATCGCTTGAACCTGGAGGCAGAGGTTGCAGTGAGCCAAGACTGTGCCACTGCACTCCAGCCTGGGCAACAGAGCAAGACCCTGTCTCCAGAATAAATAAGTATAAACTTCGGCCTCTCTTCCACACGTTCAGGGTGTGCGTGAGCATCCCAGGCAGAAGCCCCTCCTCCGCCCCCAGCCTCGGTGACCACGGTTGGCTTCCCATCTTGGCTGGTCTGCCCGTCCTGGGCATTCCCCGGGCACCGACTCACACAGTGAGTGGCCTGTGTTCCTCCGGGCTGTCAGCCGCCGGAGCTTGGCGCTCTGTCGAGGCTGAGCGGTGTTCATAGTGAGGGGTGCCGCCCTGTGCTGGCCCCTCATGGGGGATGGACCCCTGTGGTCTGCGCGTTGGCGGCTGTGGGTAGAGCTGCTGTGAACATTCACAGAAAACCTTAAGTAGAAGTTCGGGGCCCAGTGAGGAAGACGGGAACTCGCTGCGGGCGGCCAGGAAAGGCTCTGAGCCCTCCAGGCCCCTCCCTGGCCTCCTCCCATAGGCATTGGCCCCCCTCTGTCAGGGCACGGTGTGAACCCTGGACCCTCCCGGTGGCGTGCACGGCAGCCGAGGCCGTCCGGCTCCTTCCTTGCAGGTCTATTACCTCGGAGAGGGGGAGGCCTCGCGCCGGTGGCTGCAGCAGGAGCACAACAGCACGGAGAAGCTGTGCCTGTCACACATGCGGGCGGTGGCCAGCCACGTGCGGGCCCGGCGCCCTGGCGTGACGCCCCTGGTGTGGGATGACATGCTGCGGGACCTGCCTGAGGACCAGCTCGCAGGTTGGCCAACGGGGCCAGGGGAGGGGGTGGGCCACTGACCTGCCCGAGACCCGCGGCTTCAGAGAACGAAGGCGCTGTAGGAAGTGGGCCCCAGAGTGAGCCCCAGCCCCGCACAGACCTGCCACAACCACTCCTGCATCCCCTCGTGAAAACACCATGTCTGAGTCATTTCCCTAGAAGCCATGAGGCTTGCGCAGGAGAGCACAGGCCTGCCCGGTGGCCCAGAGGGCTCGGGAGTGTCTGGCACTCGTGGCACCTCCTCCGAGGCCAGCCTGCTGGGACTGGGGGCCACGGTTCCCGCTGGCCACTCCTCCAGCCCCTGGGCCCTGCTCGCTCTGCCTGAGGCTTTGAGGTGAGCTCCTGAGCACCTTCCTGGGCCAAGAGGTGGTGCTCAGATACCTGGCCCGGTTCCGCACAAAGCCCCGAGGTTCAGAGAGCCCCACGGCAGAGCTGGGGGCCAGGGTGTCCTAGGGCTATGCTGGCCTGGCAGCTGCCACCCATGCATGCCACACAGATGACTTAGAGCAGTCTCCATTCAGCCGTGGGCCCCAGCTGTGCCTGCAGCTCCCAGCCTGGAGGAGCAGCAGTGGGAGTGCGGGCGTTCTAGTGGGCACCAGCTCTGAAAGGCACCGTGCGGCGTTGTGGCATTCATTGTCGAAACCCAGCTTAGTGCCAAGCCTGTCTTTAAAAGGCGTCTGGCTCACCCTTTCACACAAAACAAGAACAAGTGGGTCTGAGGGGCTGGGGGTGTGATCCGGGCATCTCGCCAACCCCACGTGCACTGTCTGCAGCGTCCGGGGTGCCGCAGCTGGTGGAGCCGGTGCTCTGGGACTACACGGCCGACCTGGATGTGCGTGGCAAGGGTCAGTGCCAAGTTGTGGGGGCGGAGTGTTGTGGCCACATGTCTGGGAAGGCTGCCCCGGCCCCGTGACCCTGCAACCCCAACTGTGCAGCCTGGGGCCTGCCCAGCATGCATAGGTAGAGGCCGGAGACAGCCCCGGCAGACCCCAGCCCATAGTGTCCCAGCACGGCCACCCTGCACCTGTGCTCACCTCCCGATCCACCAGTGTTTTCCTAGCAAGCAGGTGAACCAGGGCCCACACACGTGCTGGAGTCTCCCCAGCTGGGAACCTGGCCTGGCGGCTCCCGCGTCAGGTCTGGGCGCGGCCGTGAGAGGCGCATCTGTGCGTGTTGGCCGCCTCCCCAGAAGCCGCTCACCCGCGTCCTTTTTCACCCAGTCCTCCTCATGCAGAAGTACCGGCGGTGCGGCTTTCTGCGGCTGTGGGCAGCCAGTGCCTTCAAAGGTGCCACGGGGCCCAGCCAGGCCCTGCCCCCCATGGAGCACCACCTCAGGAACCACGCGCAGTGGCTGCAGGTGGCAGGCAGCGGACCCACCGACTCCCTGCAGGGCATCATCCTGACCGGCTGGCAGAGGTAAGCCCTGGCTACCTGTCCTCAGAGGGTAGGGGGCAGCTCTGGTGGCTGCCACCTCAGCCTGTCCCAGGTCTGTCAAAGGGGAAGCAGGCCAGGCCTCCGAGAAGAGCTGCAGGAAACGGCCATTTGGGGTTGCCCTGCACGCAGAGTGGCCGCTGGGGGACGCTGCTGACGTGTTCAGGGTCAGGAGCACGTGGCCCCTGCCCCCAGGCCGCCCTGCGCACCACACCTGAGGCTGTGTGCTGCGTGTGGCGAGGCAGGAGGAGGAGTTTTGGCTCTTTCAGAATTTCATTCTGTTGCCGGAAGTGCAGTCTCCGTTCAGACCCCACAAGAAGGTTCTTGGGTCTGGCACAGGAAAGAATTCAAGGCCGAGTGCAGTGAGGGGACATCACCGAAAGGTGCTCAGTGAGAGGCGGGGCCCTCGGAAGGCCCGCGCAGGCGCGCCCGGCAGCTCTCCATTCTCGCCTATCAGGGTCTTGTCTGCGTCAACGCTAAGCCGTGCTGCCTGGGGGTGGGCCGACAGGGTGACAGGATTTATTACTCTGGGCCTGGCAAAGTGGCTCACGCCTGTAATCCCAGCAGTCTGGGAGGCCGAGGCAGCTGGATCATGAGGGCCGGAGTTCATGGCCAGCCTGGCCAACGTGGTGGTGGTGGGCGCCTGTGATCCCAGCTACTCGGGAGGCTGAGGCAGGAGAATCACTCGAATCTGGGAGGCGGAGGTTGCAGTGAGCCGAGGTCGCACAACTGTACTCCAGCCTGGGTGACAGAGTGAGACTGTCTCAAAAACAAAAGAAAAGAAAAAAGAATGTATTACTCCGTGGATTGAAAGAAAGAAAACTGTCCCGGACCTTTCAGTGTGTGCGCGTGTGGAAGCCTAAGTGTAGGGATCGGGAAGGCGCGGCTGCCGTGGCCGTGGGGACGCCAGGACTGTCTGCTGTTGCAGGAGTTTCCCTGCAGGTACCTAAGCGTGTCCTCAGCTGTAAAGTCTCTGCCTGTGGGTCCTGACTGGCAGGGACGGGCCTTGTTAGTCCCAAGGAGCTGGACCTCAGTGGCGTCCCCCTGGCGCTCCCAGGCCCCTGCTTCTGTGATGACGCCACGTGGAAAGCAGAGCTGCAGATAAACCCCTGGCTGCCAGTCAAGTCCTGACCTCAGGTCCTGTCTCACGTTGGAGGGTTCAGGGGCAGGTGGCACAGGTGTCATGGGCTGGGCGAGTGGCTGGAGACAGGAGCCTGCTAGGGGCCCTGTGCCCTGACCCACAAAGCTCAGACTCAGAGGGACTCAAGAATTGCATGGTGGGGACTGCTTCTAGCTGGTTGCCACTGTCCTGTGGGCATGCAGCTCCATCTGCACGGACCAGGACCCTCCGTAGGGCAGAGCGAGGCTCCTCCTCTCCCGGAGTGGCGGCACGTCCTTCGGCGAGCCGTGGGGGCTGCGGCATCAGGCATCGCCCAGCCTTCGCCTGTGCTCACACCTGGGGTAGCATTTGTCACCCACCTCACTTACAGCTGAAGAAACCGAGGCACAGGCAGGTAGATGCCCCCTACCCGGCAGTGGGAAGCCCCAACCTCTATCCCAGGCCAGGCCAAGGCCCCCAGCCCTCACTTGGGACGGACACTGCCCCTGACCTGCTGCCTGCCAGGCCTGACGTCTTGCTCTCCTCGTGGGGCCTTGGGGAAAAGCCACCACCCTTGTCAGCCAGACAGGAGGCGGCTGAGGGAGAGGGTTGGGCAGGAGGAGCCCAGAGGCCCTAGGAAGGGGGTGTCAAGGGCAGCCCCCATGAGCAGAAGCCCTTTTCTCAGAGGCCAGAGGTGCTGCGGGGAGTGACAATGACCGGCCACCCCCAAGGGCCCCATGGCTCCAGAAAGCGTGGCAGCAAGGAATCCCAGTGCTCTTCACCCATACGGTTTCTAAAACGGCATTTAAGTGAGAGCCCCACTGCACAGACCCTGCCCTGGAGACCCTGGGCCCTGTGGGTGGAAGGGGTCAGGCTGCCCCAGGCACTGCTGGAACAAGACCAGGGACGCCTCAAGTCAGGACGCCTGCGTCAGGCTGGGGGCGGGGGGCGCTGTGGAGCTGAGCACCCCTCTCATGGACCCAGGTACGACCACTTCTCTGTGCTGTGTGAGCTGCTCCCTGCAGGAGTCCCGTCCCTGGCCGCCTGTCTGCAGTTGCTTCTACGGGGTACGTCTGGTCTGGCCACCCCAAGCCCCGCTGGCTCCTCCCAGAAAGACCTGAAGGACAGGAGGCCAAGTGCCCAGTGCTCCAAACACCCTACTGGACTGTGGTGGTTCTCATGGTGGGGGGGCGGGGTGTTCTCACTACCCCAGCTTAGCCACCCACCTGCCCTGAAGTCCACCCAGGCTGGCCTGTGCCCAGCCTCCAAGCCTAAGCCCAAAGCAGACTGGAGAGTTCTGAGGGTGCACCCCTCAGACCCAGTGAACCCGCAGAAATGCATGCAGAGGTTGGACGTGGGGAGCAGCTCTGCCTTTGCTGCAGAAATGTCCTCAACACCTGGCGGAGCAGGTGTGGGGCTCAGGGATCCAGCCCTGGAAGGCCCTGGACCCAGCATTCACTTTCAGGTCACTTGAGGGAACAACAGGACCCACAGGCGGGGCAGGCACAGGGCGCTCCTCGGGGTCACAGGGGTGTGGCGAGATGAGCCGCGCGGCCACACAGGAAATCATGGCCACTGTGTGGTGCCTATGCACTGAGAGCGGGGCCCACAGGCTGGCAGCCCAGATGAGGCACGGCCAGTGAGAGGGCACAGAACGAGGTCGGACTGACCCTGAACCACTTAGAATACGTAGAAAGGGGCGGAGATGACGGAACAGACCCCCAGGTGCCCCACACTGAGGAGCTGTGTTCATGCGGATGGTATTTGCAGTGTCCCTTGGCCACGGCCCCACCTGCCACCCTGACTGGGGCACTGCACTGCCCTCTGGCCGCCAGGTATTTCCTCGGACTTCGGGGAGGTTTCGGGTGCTCCAGGATATTTCATTGGCTGTGTAAACCACAGCGGCAAACTCTGTGTGAGCCCTGGACACCTGCGGGTCAGGCTGCGCCCAGCAGGAAGGGCCACCTGCTGTCCGGGTGGTGCTGTTGGCAACAGCCTTAGTTCTATTTTCTCATTTTTAAAAATAAGGAACATATTTCACGGGTTTAAAGAGAAGCAGCAGGCCCATCTGCTCCAGGTCCCCTTGGCCAGCACACTCGGGGCTGGGCCTGGCCCATGGCTCTCTGTGCTGCCCGCCTGCTGCCCCGGCACCCAGGCCTGCAGGTCCCAGTGCCAGTGTGACCCCCTCTCCTCCAGAGACCCCCCAACCGCCCCGCCTGTGGTTGATTTCAGGAGGGTTTGATGAAGATGTTAAAGCAAAAATGGAGAACCTTCTCGGGATTTCCGGCCTGGAAATAACAGACCCTGTGAGGCAAGTAGCCCAAGGCCCTCCCCCTCCCCCTCCCCGCGCTCCTCTCCCCTCCCTTGGGGACAGCTGTTCTCAGCAGGGCTCTCTGCAGGGAGGGGGCCGGCTCTTTCCCTGGCAGAAGCATCCTTGCGCTTGTCACACAAGTCAGCCTCCATCTGCGCAGCTCTGTGGACATGCTGCTGGAGGGCAACAGGTGAGCGTGTGGGTAAAGTGTGGGTGGGGGGCAGGTGCGGGTGGGGGGCAGGTCTGGGGGGGCAGGTGCAGGTGGGGGCAGGTGCGGGTGGGGGGCAGGTGCGGGTGGGGGGCAGGTGCGGGTGGGGGGCAGGTGCGGGTGGGGGGGAGGTCTGGGGGGGCAGGTGTGGGTGGGGGGCAGGTCTGGGGAGGCAGGTGCGGGTGGGGGGCAGGTCTGGGGGGACAGGTGCGGGTGGGGGGCAGGTGAGGGTTAGGGGCAGGTCTGGGTGGGGAGCAGGTGTGGGTGGAGGGCAGGTGCGGGTGAGCAGACAGGTGTAGGTGGGAGGCAGGTGCAGGGGAGCAGACAAGTGCAGGTGAGTGGGCAGGGACAGGTGCAGGTGAAGACAGGTGCGCAACCCCCCCCTACCTCCTCACCCCAGCACAGGAGGAGGCAACCTCATCCTTCACAAAGACTTTCTGGGGGGTGTAAGACTTAGAAATGTCTATCCAGTTCTTACACATTTTCTGAGGTATTGCTATAAAGCTGCCCCCTGGCTGCCTTGGTAGCACGGCACACCTGTTATGTGGATTTGCCCAGGTACGTGACCGGCTGGTTCAGCCCCTACCACCGCCAGCGGAAGCTCATCCACCCGGTCATGGTCCAGCACATCCAGCCTGCAGCGCTCAGGTGAGGCCCCACAGCCGTGGGTCCCCGGTGACTGCTGCCCGTGCCTTAGCTAGAGTGAAAGTGGACGAGGGTGAGGGGTGGGCTTCTGGGCTCAGATGTGCAGCTGTCACTGACTTGTTCCTCCCAACACACACATGAGATCGAGTCAGTAGCCCCATTTTACACAAGGTAAACTGAGGCATGAGGCAGTACTGACCATGGGGTTGAGGGCAAGTCCCAAGTATGCATACTGTGTGCTCACGGCGCCCTCACCCCAGCCTCCTGGCGCAGTGGAGCACCCTCGTGCAGGAGCTGGAGGCCGCCCTGCAGCTGGCTTTCTACCCGGACGCCGTGGAGGAGTGGCTGGAGGAGAATGTACACCCCAGCCTGCAGCAGCTGCAAGCTCTGCTACAGGACCTCAGCGAGGCGGCCGCCCCCCAGCCCCCACCCACTGGCCCTCGGGGGGATGCTGCTCAGGACCCCTGAGGGGAGAGCTCGTGCCTGCACTCGGGGGCTCTGTGCAGCCAGCTGTCGGCCTGGGCAAAAGGGGCCCACGTAGGTATCATGCCCTCTGGCCCAGCAGTGTCTGGCCCACACGCGGTTCCTGCGGGCCCTGGGCAGTCCCGTGGGGGAGACTAGAAAACACAGAAGGAAGCAGCCAGGGAGACCCACTCTGTGATCTGCATGTACGACCCCAATTCTTCTGAAATAAAGAGTGGAAGCCACAGTTACACGTGAAGGATTATTTAAGGCTGCCTCCAGCTTCCAGCTGCATCCAGGAACAAACCGCAGCCCTGGGGCTGGTGAGGAGGAAGGGCCAGGAGGAGGGAGCCGCCTTGCCGGGACAGCGGCCTTGTTGGGGAGCCACCTGGCTGGGACAGCGGCCTTGTTGGGGAGCCGCCTGGCCGGGACAGTGCCCGTGTCAGGGATCCGGCGAGGGCGGCTCCCTCCTCCTCACCTAAAGCACCTTCCCACAGCTCGGGGCGAACAGGCCAGAAACCTCAGATGACTGCATCGTACACTTTTCATTTTAGCAAGAAAAAACATCTCAGGTTTAACCATCTAAAAACTTAGTTTTAGGCTGGGCACAGTGGCTTATGGCTTTAATCCCAGCTCTTTGGGAGGCCAAGATGGACAGATCACCTAAGGTCAGCAGTTTGAGACCACCCTGGCCAACATGGTGAAACCCCGTCTCTACTGAAAATATAAAAATTAGCCAGATGTGGTGGCAGGTGCCTATAATCCCAGCTACTCGGAAGGCTGAGGCAGGAGAATCACTTGAACCCAGGAGGCAGAGGTTGCAGTGAGCTGAGATCACACCATTGCACTCCAGCCTGGGAGATAAGAGCATAACTCCATCTCAGAATCAAAACAAAAAACCCACGTAACTTTGGCATGTTCAGGGAAGCATGTCCCCCAGCTAGGGGCTGGCAGCCACTGTTGAGGACGGTCTCATTCCTTTCCCGTCTGCTCTCACTGAGGCAGCAGCCAGACCTGGGGCGAAGGCGTTCCTGCTCCTAACCAGCCACTCCTGGGGCTGCTGCCTGGGGGCTCACAGGGCCCAAGAGTCCCCAGCTCGGAGGCCGCGGCACCAGGCCAGGCACGCTGAGTGCACACTGCACCTGGTAGGACCTCGGGAGGCCAAGAGCACCGGCAGGCAGGACGGCTGGGGTTCACCTCCGGCAGGGGTGCAGCTGAGAGCCCAGCCCCCTCCCCCCACCAGGTCTTCCCAGGTTCAAGAGGGCTGGAACTCAAGTTCTGCAGAAAGTCTCCCAGTTTTTCTTCTTTTGGCTGGTTTTTTCTTTTTGTAAAGACTGGATCTTGCTGTGTTGTCCATGCTGGTCTTGAACTCCTGGCCTCAAGCAATCCTCCCAAATCCTTGGCCTCCCAAAGCACTGGGATTACTGGCATGAGCCACTGCACCAGGGCTGGAGCTCCCGGTTTTTAAGCACTGCGCAACGTTAGAAGAGCTGACCTTTTTTTTCTGGCCTAGCAGCTTCTGCTGAGGCTCAGGGTGAGGAGCAGAGAGACCTTTCTGTGGTGACAGCTGGGATAGAGCAGTCTGTGCACCAAGATGCTGGCATCAGCAAGGGAGGCAGGTCCTTGGGGAGGGGCAGTTTCCACAGTGTGGACACAGCGTGCACAGCCAGGCAGGCCCGGGGGAAGCACCTGACCACTGGGGTCATCCACCCAGGGAGGGGACACTGTCGGGGACTTCGCACAGCACCAGCACCGGGGGGCCCGGCCTAGCCTCTCTACTCGTCCGAGGTCTCGCTGTGGCCTGCAGCAGGAGTCCAGGGCTGGCGAGAACTCCAGCTGCAGGAAGGCAGGCCCAGGCCTCAACGATGGAGAAAGCCTGGGTGTCCTTTCAGTTGCAGAGGCTGAGGGTGGAGCTGTCCAGTCCGGGCCATGCAGCCCATTGTCTTCACACCCCAAACTGCCCAAGCCGTGGCCATTGTCTGATTGCCGGAGGACTTGCTGACTTCTGAGCCCCCTTCCCACACCAACAGAGTCCCTGCCCAGCCCCTCAGAGAAGGTCCAGCTGTTCCATGCAGTGTGAAAGCAGCAGCAGGAGCAGGCAAGAGGCCGACTCAGCTGGAGGTGCCAGCCGAGGCCGAGGGTTCTGTGGGCGGTGCTCAGGCATGGGCACAGTGGGGCTGTCAGCTCTGGCTCCCAGGGTCGCCGGCCTCACTGTCACTGCTCTGAGACATCTCCGTGGGGCTCTCAAGGCAGTGCAGCTCCAGGAAGCTGGTGATGAGCTTGGCAATGGCCTCCACGTCACTGGGTGAGGCCACAACAGGAGGAAGTTCAGGTCTCCTTGGCAAAGGGTGCCACGATACCCACACCAGCCTCCCCCTCAGCCACCCTCCTCCAGCAGCCCCTGGGACTCCCAAACTGGACCCAGCACTTCCTGGCTTGGTCCCACCCCCTCAGCCATAGTGGGGCTGCCCTGAGCCTGCACACGCTTCCCAAGGGCCCCTCTGTGACCCGTCCACAAACTTGTCTCCTCTCCCAGCTGCCCCGTAGCTCTGGGCGGTCAGGAACGGCAGTCACCTGGCATGGCGGCAGCTCTGGCCAGATCCAAGTCGCGCAGCCTTACCTGCGGTGACCCATGACTGCGCTCTGGGTGAGGGGGTGGGAGAAGCCTGTCGCAAGCCGGAGCACCACCACGTAGCCCTTCCCAAAGTACCGGACCTTCTCCTCCTCCACGCTCACGTCACGCACATCCTGCAGCAGGACCACCACTGCAGGGAGACAGACGGTGAGTGGTCAAGCCGTCCCCACCCACACATGCTGCCTGGCAGTCGCACCAGGGCCTCTGGCGCCGTCAAGAGCAACAGACACGCTTGGTTGGTGGCAAAAGTGTGTGCTGTTCCCTGTCTGAGGCTGGGCCCGAGGGGCTGCTGTGGCCCTGACGGCAGTGCAAGGTCCTCTGGGAGGGAAGGACGTGCCCACAGTGCGGGCTGGCGGGCCATGCACGGCCTGCAGGTTCTCCTGGGAGTGCCGACGGCGGGCGAGGGCAACATCTTCATGTTGCACTGTCCCTCCAGGCTTCCCTGAGGTTGGCTGCTGAGCCAGGGCCACCCTGCAATTTCCTGTGGCCATTCAGGGAAGTCACCTCTTCGGGGACTGGGGTGGCCCCATCCTGCGGCCCCAACGGCTGTCGGAAAACAGCACAGCTGCCTCCCACAGCCCAGGCCAGGCCTGCAGCTCTTCTCCCTAAAGCCCTGGGTGACCTGGGGCCAATGCCCTGGCCAGGTCTCTGCAGGGATTCAGGCAGCAGCCTGTCAGCAGCACAGCAGGATGGCACCAAACCCAAGACTGCCCAGCGACTCTGGTCACCCGCATCCCTCGGGCTGTGCATGGGCGGCTGGACCCCGAGGCCTCACCACAGGAAACCAGTGCTGACCACAGCTGGGCTAGTGCCCAGGCTCACAGTTGGGGTTCCTCAGACCACCCAGCCCCTTACTGCAGGTCCAGTAGAACCCACAGGAAAGCTGGGGGAGCCAAGGCTCTCCCTGCCCTGCCCTGTGACCTGCCCTCAGGGGCCAAAGTGCACCTGGGACAAGTGGCTGCTGGGCCAGCAGGAGAACACGGCTGAACAGGCCACCCGAGCACAGGTGGGCCAAACCCATCCTCCCACCCTCCCCAGGGGCCAAACCTCTGAAAGACCCAGGAGGCTCTAGACCCCGCCAAGCAGGTAGAGGCATCCGTGGGACCCTGCGTCCAGCAGGCAGGACCCAACCCTGGTCACCAAGCGGGCGAGCTTGGACCCTCGGCATTTCCAGGCCCCCCTAGGCCCCGTGAGTCACCCAGACGCCCACAGTGCCACACCTGTGTCCCATGTCCCCACACTCCCCTCAACTCACCCTGGTCATGGCCTGCTCTGAAGAGAGTCAGCAGCTTCTTATAGAGGCTGAAAGTCTTCAACACAACCTTCCCCGTGCTCTTGTCAAAGACGGCTTCCTGGAAACCAATATGCACTGACCTCGAGGAACAGGGGCCCCTGTGGCCGCTGTGGTATCAGCAGAGGAGGGGGGCTGGGGCCCCTCCCAGTCAGAACCCAAATCCCTGAAGCCCCACGTGCTGCTGTGCCAGAGCCAGACATCTGCAGCCAACCCGATTCCTGTTGGGAACTGTGGAGGAAAGGGGGGCGCGGGTCCAGTGGACACCTGCTCCACTCTGCAGGCAGAAGAGACACGCGGAGGGCGCAGCAGGACAAGCAAATGAGGGCACGGAGGTCAGAGGGCAGCAACGTGCCAGGCTGAAAGGACTCACGAGGGTCTCCGAGGCGGGAGGCCCAGCCACGGGGAAAGCTGACTTGCACCCCATCGTGGCAACTTTGGGAAGAAACCACTTTGGCGAAGACAGTCTCATGGAGAGCTTCTAAGAGAAAAATGCTTTCGGGAGACTCCCTGACCAACTGTGGTCCCAGGTGAGCGCAGTGCCCAAGTCCTGATGAACAGAGACCTCCGAGCAAGCACCACCGCTTCAGGACCGGGAAGCGCTAGGTCATCAGGCCTTTCCTCCTCCTCTCATTCCCATTGCAAGAACACCCAGGAGCTGAACGGCCCTGGACTCATTCTGCACCTGAGCCAACCTTACCTCCCAGTCCTCCAAGTTCTGCACAGCCACGAACAGGCAGCCTGTGACATAGAAGAGCTTCCAGCCCAGGGTATCTGGAGGCGGACATAGGGCGCCAGCCTGTGAGTCCCAGGAACGTGCCCCCGGGAGGCCCCGCCCAGCACAGCCTCCCCCAGCTGCTGGCCAAAGGCAAGGCTTGCAAGGATCCCCTGGGCAGCTTCCTGTGCTGCTGGCCCTGCCACTCAGGACCCACACGCAGCACACCCACCGAGCCGTGACCCCGGAGCCCACGTGAGAGGCAGCTGGGGTGCGCAGGGCCTCTGCCCATCTGGGAGGGCCCAGGGATGGTGGCAGGGTGGGAAGTATCCCTCACCCCACAGCTGGATCTTAGGCAGATACTCAAGAGCATCTTTCCGAGAATATTTTATGACCCAAAACACAGAAGACTTAAGAAGTGAAATGCAGGCTGGGTGCTGGGCCGGGATGGGCGTGCCAGAACACCAGCACGTGGAGGAGCGCGGGCACACCAACCATAGCGGGGCAAAGGTGCCTTTCCTAAAGGCTGCCCCATGGATAGTCACAAATGATAGTTTTTCCTTCTCTTTTCTATTTTCCAAACAGATGAGAAAGTTATGGAGCGTGGGGGGCGCTTTACCTCCACTGTAGTAGGCAGCAGCCAGGCCAATCGACGAGATTCCTAGGAAGAGAAAGCGGCGGCCTGCCTATTGAGCCCCGTAAGCCCCGCCTCCTCCCTGCCTATTGAGCCCCGTAAGCCCCGCCTCCTCCCTGCCCATTGAGCCCCGTAAGCCCCGCCTCCTCCCTGCCCATTGAGCCCCGTAAGCCCCGCCTCCTCCCTGCCCATTGAGCCCCGTAAGCCCCGCCTCCTCCCTGCCCATTGAGCCCCGTAAGCCCCGCCTCCTCCCTGCCCGTTGAGCCCCGTAAGCCCCGCCTCCTCCCTGCCCGTTGAGCCCCGTAAGCCCCGCCTCCTCCCTGCCCGTTGAGCCCCGTAAGCCCCGCCTCCTCCCTGCCCGTTGAGCCCCGTAAGCCCCGCCTCCTCCCTGCCCATTAAGCCCCGTAAGCCCGCCTCCTCCCTGCCCATTGAGCCCCGTAAGCCCCGCCTCCTCCCTGCCTGTTGAGCCCCATAAGCCCCGCCTCCTCCCTGCCTGTTGAGCCCCGTAAGCCCCGCCTCCTCCCTATTGAGCCCCGCAAGCCCCGCCTCCTCCCTGCCTGTTGAGCCCCGTAAGCCCCGCCTCCTCCCTGCCTGTTGAGCCCCGAAGCCCCGCCTCCTCCCTGCCTTTGAGCCCCGTAAGCCCCGCCTCCTCCCTGCCTGTTGAGCCCCGCAAGCCCCGCCTCCTCCCCGCCTATTGAGCCCCGTAAGCCCCGCCTCCTCCCTGCCTTTGAGCCCCACAAGCCCCACCTCCTCCCCGCCTATTGAGCCCCGCAAGCCCCGCCTCCTCCCTGCCTGTTGAGCCCCGCAAGCCCCGCCTCCTCCCCGCCTATTGAGCCCCGTAAGCCCCGCCTCCTCCCTGCCTTTGAGCCCCACAAGCCCCGCCTCCTCCCTGCCTTTGAGCCCCGCAAGCCCCGCCTCCTCCCTGCCTTTGAGCCCCGCAAGCCCCGCCTCCTCCCTGCCTGTTGAGCCCCGCAAGCCCCGCCTCTTCCCCCAGTGCAGCGGGCCAGGAGTCACAGCCCAGTGAGCAGGCCGTTCTCACTGTAGTAACAGCTGTGGTAGGGGGTTACAGACCACCAGGTTCAGGGTAGGGGAGATAGCCAGGAAGCTGGTTCAAAAATGCAGTATAGGGCCGGGCGTGGTGGCTCACACCTGTAATCCAAGCACTTTGGAGGCCAAGGCGGGCGGATCACCTGAGGTCGGGAGTTCAAGACCAGCCTGACCAACATGGTGAAACTCCGTCTTAATAAAAAAAATTTTTTTTTAAATAAAATGAAATAAACAAAAATGCAGTATAGGGGAGGCTGAGGCAGGAGAATCGCTTGAACCCGGGAGGTGGAGGTTGCAGTGAGCCAAGATTGCACCACTGCACTCTAGCCTGGGCGACAGAGTGACTCAGTCTCAAAACAAACAAAAAGCACACACACACAGACAAATGCAGTAGAGTTCGGCATAATATCACACACTTGTAATCCCAGCTACCTAGGAGGCCAAGGCAGGAAGATCGCTTGAACCCAGGAGTTTGAGACCAGCCTAGGCAACATAGCGAGACACCATCACTAAAGAAAACAAAAACCAAACACAGCATACACTATTCACTGGACACATCAACCACGGGAGGCTCCAGAGCTGACCCAGGTGTTACTCCAGCAGTACGTGGTGAGGCCTGAAGACTGTGCAAGTTACAACACAGGGTGCCATGAAAAACACACAGGAGCCGGGCGCGGTGGCTCAAGCCTGTAATCCCAGCACTTTGGGAGGCCGAGGCGGGTGGATCACGAGGTCAAGAGATCGAGACTATCCTGGTCAACATGGCGAAACCCTGTCTCTACTAAAAATACAAAAAATTAGCTGGGCATGGTGGCACATGCCTGTAATCCCAGCTACTCAGGAGGCTGAAGCAGGAGAATTGCCTGAACCCAGGAGGCGGAGGTTGCGGTGAGCCGAGATCGCACCATTGCACTCCGGCCTGGGTAACAAGAGCGAAACTCCGTCTCAAAAAAAAAAAAAAAGAAAAACACACAGGAGGCCATGGCGTGTCACAGGAAAGGTGGATCCCAGAGACACAGCTGCTGAGGACAGCCAGCACCACGCCTCCCACCATCCCCCCAACACAACTGCAGCTGTCCTCAAGGGTACAGGACCCTACTGGTGGGTGGGGACGGAGGACAGGAGGCTAAATGGACTGTGAGTCCTGTGAAGGGGTCTGAGGAGCAGGGAAGAGGAGAAATAGGTTCAAAACAAGCGCAAAGGCAAATACGGTGACCTGGGGAAAAGCTCATCGAGTATGAACGAAATACTCTGGGTGTTAATGGTTAAAAGGGGACCAGAGAGACATACATTATCTGTAAAACCAAGTGGATACAAAGAAACAAAATAGCTGTTAGATTTCAGGGTAACAGAAAAGAATAAATATTTTGTTTCATTTTCATCCTTTTTGAAAGTCTTCTGGTTCTAGGTTCTGGGGAGGGATGTGGAGAGCCTTACCAACCAGCAGGGACCAGGACCGGATGCCTGGAGCCCTCTTCAGATGGAGGCGGGCGCTGGTGCGGGTCTCCACCTGCATGTACATCCCGGGGACGGCGGCACCACTCTACAGGAGGAGGGGTCTGGGGACAGACAGAGGCAGCTTTGCCCTTGGGCCTGCCCACAGGCAGGTGCCCACGCCATCAGGCTGAGACCGGAGGCCAGGAGCAGGCTCCCCAACAAACCACCTGCAGCCTCAGACACCATCAGCCAGTGTGACCTGGTCTTTGTGGCTGGGCACACCACTGGATCCCGTTTCCTGTGTAACGTTCACAGTGACACCGACGGACGGCACGGAGGCTGCTTCCCCCTCAGACTCACGAGCGGCAGCTGCATCGCCACCTGCCCCTGTCCTATCTGGAAACCTTACGTCTTGAGGAGCCCGCCAGCCCCTAGCAGCCTTCGAGCTTCTAGCACCTATCAGCACCCACTCTCCCCGGTGCTGGCCTCCACCAAGAAAGGGAACTGAAAGTCCTATCATGGCTTCAGCCATACTGGCATGCACCAAGAATACCAGCTCTCTCTGCCTTCCTCCACCTGCTGAGAGCTCAGAGGGTCCGAAAACGGTCAGAACCAATGAGTCGCCAAAGGGACGAATCCTCCACAGGGGAGTTCTGCGAGGGCTGCAACAGCCCCGCCGGCCTAACAGTACGCTCCAAACAAAAGGCTCCAGGGACCCCGTTCCGGGGAGTTTCTCAGGCATTTCTCGGTAAAGTCGAATCAAATTTCTGACATTAAGTAGGGGGTTCAGGCCAGGCGCGGTGGCTCATGCGCGTAATCCCAGCACTTTGGGAGGCCGAGGCAGGCGGATCGCATGAGTCCAGGAGTTCAAGACCAGCCAGGGCAACGTGTGAAACTCCGCCTCCACAAAACAATAATTAAACCTGAGCCCGGTGGCCTGCGCTGCTAGCTCTCAGGCGGAGCTGGATCCCCCGAGCCCAGGCGGCGGCGGCTGCAGCGAGCCGAGATCCTGCCACTGAACTGCAGCCTGGGTGACAGAGTGAGGACCCGCCTGAAAAAAATACAAGCGGGTCCAACTCACACGGAGCCGCCCCGGGTGCCGGTTCGTGACCGGGCTCCCTCCCGGGCTCGCTCACCGCACTGCTCCCCAGGCGCCCCGCACCCCACACGCAAATGCACACGCACGCACACGCGCCGCCGGCCGCACCGGAGCGCTCGTTCCTTTGTCCGGGTCGAGGGAGCGCCGGGCCGCCGGGCCAACCTGCAGCGGGCACAGCGGGACACGCAGGGCCGGCAGGCGGGTCCAGGACGCAGACCCCGCCCGGCGTGGGCCCGAGGGCGCCGGGACACGCGGCGCGGAGCGGGAGGGAAGCGCGGAGCCCGCCCAGCGCAGCCGCCTACCGAGAGCACAGCGGTCCCCGGGCGGCAGCGACGGGACGCGAACCGGCGGGGGCGGGGCCGCGCGCACTTCCGGGATTGGAGCGGAGCCGAGCGGACTTCCGCGGTCGAGGGCGGGACCGCGCGCACTTCCTGGGTGGGGCGGAGCCGAGCGGACTTCCGGGATCCGGGCGAGGCCCACGCACTTCCGGGGTCCGGGCGGAACCGCTGTTGGAGGCGGGTGGTTCCGGCTAAAGGAACCACTTTTCTTGGAAAAAAGAACTGTTGGGGGAGCCGCGTCCGAAAGCAAAGGACGCAGCAAAGATGACGGGCGTCTGGCCCGCACGGAAGCCGAACCGAAGCGGGTCTCGGTCCCAGGAAAGACGAGCTGAGCGTGAGAACAGGCGTTCCAACGAGCTGGAAACCCTCAGGTGCTCCAGGCCGTCCTTCATCATCGTGTCGTTTTTAAACCCCCTTCACTTCCGGAGGATGCTGACAAACTCACCGCGGTCGAAGGAAGGCGTCCAGCCTTTGTCCTGCCTTTAGGAAACGTACAGCCGAGTGACCAGTGACTGCGTGAGAAGATTTTCTCATTACAGAAGTTTTCCTGCTAATAAGTGAAGAGGAAACACCTGCGGATTATTGGACCCAGGCAACGTCATCAGTGACTGCTGATGAGCATCAGAGAAAGGTCGCTTAGATGGCAGAAGTACACAACGCCGTCTGTGAAGTTGTCTTGCCGGAAAAAAAATTGACCCTACTGTGAACAAGCTTCTGGAGTGAATTACTGGAAATTGGGAAGACAAGAATGTACTAAAGGATTCTACAAGGATGCACTCAGCAATCGCAGGTGTAAACCAAAAATAAAATTCTAACTTTCGACCATCTGACTAGACCCTGCCTAGTGGCCAAGGGCATTCCGAAGTTATCCTGAAACATTGGGTCAGGCAGTGAGGGGAAGGGGAGACGGACATACTCACTCCCTCCTCCCTTTTGGAATTCAGCCACACAGCTGACCAGCATTACCATTAAAACAGATCTTGAGGCTGCAAAGTAGATTCTGTAGCAATGACACCAAATTCCAGCCTGACTCTGGTATAGGAGCACATGACAGATAACAGGCCTAAAAGAAATCTAAGTACTTTACCCCACATTATATTGATTTAATGTATTTTGAAATAGCCCTGCAAAGCTGTCCCTTGTGAGGAAAATCCACGTTCTGTAGATAATTGCTGTTCCTCTCCGGGTTTTTTCCTGCTCCAGGAGGTAATTAACTCTGATGAGAAGCACAATCTGGCTGGGTGCAGTGGCTCACACCTATAATTCCAACACTTAGGGAGGTCAAGGCGGGTGGATCTCGAGATCAGGAGTTTGAGACCAGCCTGACCTTTAACATGGTGAAACCCCGTCTCTACCAAAAATAAAAAATTGAGCCAGGTGTGGTGGCACACACCTGTAGTCCCAGCTACTCAGGAGGCTGAGGCAGGAGAATCACTGGAACTTGGGAGGCGGAGGTTGCAGTGAGCCGAGATCGTGCCATTGCACTCCAGCCTAGGTTACAGAGTGAGACACTGTCTCAAAAAGAAAAGAAAAAAGAAAACAGAAAAGCACAATCCATCTCTCTGAAGCCTGCTACCTGGAGACTTCCTCTGTTTAATGAAAATCTTGGTCTCCACAAGTCCTTATCTTAACCTAGACATTCCCTTCTATTAATTCTAGGTCTTTAGACAATAACTTAACTTTTTCAACCAATTGCCAGTCAGAAAAATCTTTGAATCTACCTACAACCTGGAAGCCCCCCAGTTGAGGTTACTCCACCTTTCTGAAATGAACCAATGTACATCTACATGTACTGACTAACATCTTATGTCTTCCTAAAAGCCAGACTGTAGCCTAACCTCCTTGGGTACGTGTTCTCAGGATCTCCTAAGGGCAGTGTCACCAACCATTGGTCACTCATGTTTGGCGCAGAATCTCTTCGAATTTGTGGTTTTTGTTTTTTTGTTGTTGTTTTTTTGAGATGGAGCTGAGGCTGGGCGCAGTGGCTCACACCTGTAATCCCAGCATTTTGGGAGGCTGAGGCAGGCAGATCACAAGGTCAGGAGTTTGAGACCACCCTGGCCAATATGGTGAAACCCCATCTGTATTTAGAGAGAGAGAGAGAGAGAGAGAGAGAGATGGAGTCTCATTCTGTCACCAAGCTAGAGTGCAGTGGCATGATCTCGGCTCACCGCAACCTCTGCCTCCCAGGTTCAAGCGATTCTCCTGCCTCAGCCTCCCAAGTAGCTGGGATTACAGTCACATGCCACCACGCCCAGCTAATTTTTGTATTTTTAGTAGAGATAGGGTTTCACCATGTTGACCAGGATGGTCTTGAACTCCTGACATGATCTGCCTGCCTCAGCCTCCCAAAGTGCTGGGTTTACAGGCGTGAGCCACCAGGACTGGCCATCTCTTCAGATATTTTACAGTTTGACTCTTTTTGTCAACATGGGAACCCTTACAGGCAACTCACCTGATTTTGATTTTGAAATAATGTATACAAAGAACAACAAGTTTAAGATCAGAAACTTAGCAACTTTTTTTTTTTTTTTTTTTTTTTTTTTTTTTTTACGAAGTCCCACTGTTGACGAAGTTGGAGTACAGCAGCACCATCTCGGCTCACCGCAACCTCCGCCTCCTGGGTTCAAGCGATTCTCCTGCCTCAGCATCCTGAGTAGCTGGGACTACAGGCATGCGCTGCCACACCCAGCTAATTTTTTAATTTTTTGTAGAGACAGGGTTTTGCCATGTTGGCCAGGCAGGTCTCAAACTCCTGACTTCAGCTGATCAGCCCACCTAGGCCACCCAAAGTGCTGGGATTACAGGTATGAGCCATCATGTCCAGCCTGAACTCTGCCACTTCTAAGTAGGCCTCACGTTATGTCAAAATCAAGTTGTTTTTCAACAAAAAGAGACTTCTCAATGTCTTCCATAAGTTCACAGAAAAAAAAAGGGACTTAAGAAACATATAAACCATTTGTAATCCAGACTAATAGAACATACGAGACCTTATTTAGATCCTGATTTAAACAAACCATAAAAAAAATTATGAGACAATGTGGAAAACTAGACACTGGCTATTTGATAAAAAAAAAAATTAACTGATTTCAATTTGTTCCTTTAACCATATTACAATTATGGTTTTATTTATTTTTATTATTTTGTTTTAGAGACAGAGGTTTGCTCTTGTTGCGCAGGCTGGAGCGCAATGGTGCAGTCTTGGCTCATTGCACCCCCTGCCTCCTGGGTTCAAGCAATTCTCCTGCCATAGCCTCCCCAGTAGCTGGAATTACAGGCACGCACCACCACCCCATCCAGCTAATTTTTGTATTTTTAGTAGAGAGGGAGTTTCACCATGTTGGCCAGGCTGGTCTAAAACACGTCACCTCAGTTTATCTACCCGCCTCAGCCTCCCAAAGTGCTGGGATTACAGATATGAGCCACTGTGTCTGGCCAGTTATATTTTTTTTAAACATTAACAAAAAAGATATAGAAATGTCAACCTAAAATTATCCTTTTAATCAAGTTGAAGTTGAGGGGAGATGTTTTCTGAGAGATGCTGACATGAATTTGAGTAATCCAGAGGCTTAACACTTGCTGACTTTTATTGACGCATTTGCAAAAAGCTATACAAACTAGAAACTGAAAATCAGGGCCGGGCGCGGTGGCTCATGCCTGTAATCCCAGCACTTTGGGAGGCCGAGGCGGGTGGATCACGAGGTCAAGAGATCGAGACCATCCTGGTCAACATGGTGAAACCCCGTCTCTACTAAAAATACAAAAAATTAGCTGGGCATGGTGGCGCGTGCCTGTAATCCCAGCTACTCAGGAGGCTGAGGCAGGAGAATTGCCTGAACCCAGGAGGCGGAGGTTGCGGTGAGCCGAGATTGCGCCATTGCACTCCAGCCTGGGTAACAAGAGTGAAACTCTGTCTCAAAAAAAAAAAAAAAAAAAAAGACAGGGTTTCACCATGTCAGTCAGGCTGATCTCAAACTCCTGACCTGAGGTGATTCCCCTGCCTCTGCTTCCCAAAGTGCTGGGATTACAGGCATGAGCTACTGTGCCCAGCCAAAAATATTTTTAATAGAAAACAATTTGCAATACAGTAAGGTAAGGAGAAAAAATAAAATTTAAAAAATCAAAAGATTCTAGTGGGTTTTCTAGAAGTGGAATAGTCTTAAATATTTATTTGGACTTTGTGACCCCAGAGGAAAGGGGGACATTTGCTTCAACTTGTTTTTGTTTTTTTCTGAGACAGAGTTCTGTTTTGTCACCCAGGTTCAATGGTGCAATCTCAACTCACTGCAACCTCCGTCTCCCAGGTTCAAGTGATTCTACTGCCATAGCCTCCCGAGACAGGCATGCACCACCACATCTGGATATTTTTTGTGTTTTTAGTAGGTACAGGGTTTCACCATGTTGTCCATGCTGGCGTCGAACTCCTGACCTCAACTGATTCACCTGCCTTGGCCTTCCAAAGTGCTGGGATTACAGGTGTGAGCCATGGTGCCCAGCCTCAACTTGAAGTGTCAACTTGAAACTGCCTTTGCAAAGATGAAGACAGTGAGAGAGGGTGGGTGTAGTGGCTCACACCTGTAATCCCAGCACTTTGGGAGGCTGAGGTGGATCACTTGAGTCCAGGAATTTAAGAACAGCCTGGGCAGCATGGGGAGACCCTCTATCTGCAAAAAATTTAAAACCTAGCCAGGATGGTGGTGCGAGACTGCAGTCCCAGCTACCCGGCAGGGTTGAGGGGGAAGGATTACTTGAGCCAAGGAGGTTCAGGCTGCAGTGAACTGTGATCATGCCACTGCTTTCCAGCCGAGGTAATAGAGTGAGACGCTGCTGAAAAAAAAAAAAAAATCACATAGTTAACTCTTATCATCCTTCCAACATCCCAGTTGTCCTTGGTTATTCCGGGGCATAAGCCAAGCTAATTTGGGAGGAATTTATAGTTTAACCTTGAAGCAAGGATGATAAATAGTCCCTTCCTGAAACTATGGCCTCCCTCTTCTGGGGCTGAAACTGCCTTTGCAAACGCCACAAGATTAGGCTTGTGGCAGGGGCCTGCCCTCTGCTAAAATATCAGCATACTTTCTGCCATCCGTTACTGCT